TGGTGTACATTGTCTGTGTCAGGTAGAGGAAGACAAGTTGTATGGTGTACATTGTCTGTGTCAGGTAGAGAAGACAAGTTGTATGGTGTACATTGTCTGTGTCAGGTAGAGGAAGACAAGTTGTATGGTGTACATTGTCTGTGTCAGGTAGAGGAAGACAAGTTGTATGGTGTACATTGTCTGTGTCAGGTGGAGGAAGACAAGTACACTGGTACTCATTGTCTGTGTAGCTGAAGACAGTTGTATGGTGTACATTGTCTGTGTCAGGTGGAGGAAGACAACAAGTACACTTGTATGTACTCATAGCTGAAGACAAGTACACTGTTGTATGGTGTACATTGTCTGTGTCAGGTAGAGAAGAAGAAGTTGTATGGTGTACATTGTCTGTGTCAGGTAGAGGAAGACAAGTTGTATGGTGTACATTGTCTGTGTCAGGTAGAGAGAAGACAAGTTGTATGGTGTACATTGTCTGTGTCAGGAGGAGTTGTATGGTGTACATTGTCTGTGTCAGGTAGAGGAAGACAAGTTGTATGGTGTACATTGTCTGTGTCAGGTAGAGGTGTACATTGAGGACAAGTTGTATGGTGTACATTGTCTGTGTCAGGTAGAGAGAGAAGACAAGTTGTATGGTGTACATTGTCTGTGTCAGGTGGAGGAAGACAAGTACACTGGTACTCCATAGCTGAAGAAGTTGTATGGTGTACATTGTCTGTGTCAGGTAGAGGAAGACAAGTTGTATGGTGTACATTGTCTGTGTCAGGTAGAGGAAGACAAGTTGTATGGTGTACATTGTCTGTGTCAGGTAGAGGAAGACAAGTTGTATGGTGTACATTGTCTGTGTCAGGTAGAGGAAGACAAGTTGTATGGTGTACATTGTCTGTGTCAGGTAGAGGAAGACAAGTTGTATGGTGTACATTGTCTGTGTCAGGTAGAGGAAGACAAGTTGTATGGTGTACATTGTCTGTGTCAGGTGGAGGAAGACAAGTACACTGGTACTCCATAGCTGAAGAAGTTGTATGGTGTACATTGTCTGTGTCAGGTGGAGGAAGACAAGTACACTGGTACTCCATAGCTGAAGAAGTTGTATGGTGTACATTGTCTGTGTCAGGTAGAGGAAGACAGGTTGTATGGTGTACATTGTCTGTGTCAGGTAGAGGAAGACAAGTTGTATGGTGTACATTGTCTGTGTCAGGTGGAGGAAGACAAGTACACTGGTACTCCATAGCTGAAGAAGTTGTATGGTGTACATTGTCTGTGTCAGGTAGAGGAAGACAAGTTGTATGGTGTACATTGTCTGTGTCAGGTAGAGGAAGACAAGTTGTATGGTGTACATTGTCTGTGTCAGGTAGAGGAAGACAAGTTGTATGGTGTACATTGTCTGTGTCAGGTGGAGGAAGACAAGTACACTGGTACTCCATAGCTGAAGAAGTTGTATGGTGTACATTGTCTGTGTCAGGTGGAGGAAGACAAGTACACTGGTACTCCATAGCTGAAGAAGTTGTATGGTGTACATTGTCTGTGTCAGGTGGAGGAAGACAAGTTGTATGGTGTACATTGTCTGTGTCAGACAAGAAGAAGTTGTATGGTGTACATTGTCTGTGTCAGGTAGAGGAAGACAAGTTGTATGGTGTACATTGTCTGTGTCAGGTAGAGGAAGACAAGTTGTATGGTGTACATTGTCTGTGTCAGGTAGAGGAAGACAAGTTGTATGGTGTACATTGTCTGTGTCAGGTAGAGGAAGACAAGTTGTATGGTGTACATTGTCTGTGTCAGGTGGAGGAAGACAAGTACACTGGTACATCCATAGCTGAAGAAGTTGTATGGTGTACATTGTCTGTGTCAGGTGGAGAGACAAGTACACTGGTACTCCATAGCTGAAGAAGTTGTATGGTGTACATTGTCTGTGTCAGGTGGAGGAGACAAGACAAGTTGTATGGTGTACATTGTCTGTGTCAGGTGGAGGAAGACAAGTTGTATGGTGTACATTGTCTGTGTCAGGTAGAGAAGACAAGTTGTATGGTGTACATTGTCTGTGTCAGGTAGAGAGAAGACAAGTTGTATGGTGTACATTGTCTGTGTCAGGTCAGGTAGAGGAAGACAAGTTGTATGGTGTACATTGTCTGTGTCAGGTGGAGAGGAGACAAGTTGTATGGTGTACATTGTCTGTGTCAGGTAGAGAGAAGACAAGTTGTATGGTGTACATTGTCTGTGTCAGGTAGAGAGAAGACAAGTTGTATGGTGTACATTGTCTGTGTCAGGTAGAGGAAGACAAGTTGTATGGTGTACATTGTCTGTGTCAGGTGGAGGAGGAAGACAAGTACACTGGTACTCCATAGCTGAAAGAAGTTGTATGGTGTACATTGTCTGTGTCAGGTGGAGGAAGACAAGTACACTGGTACATTCCTGTGTCAGCTGAAGAAGTTGTATGGTGTACATTGTCTGTGTCAGGTGGAGGAAGACAAGTTGTATGGTGTACATTGTCTGTGTCAGGTAGAGAGAAAGACAAGTTGTATGGTGTACATTGTCTGTGTCAGGTGGAGGAAGACAAGTTGTATGGTGTACATTGTCTGTGTCAGGTGGAGAAAGACAAGTTGTATGGTGTACATTGTCTGTGTCAGGTGAGAGGAAAGACAAGTTGTATGGTGTACATTGTCTGTGTCAGGTGGAGGAAGACAAGTTGTATGGTGTACATTGTCTGTGTCAGGTGGAGGAAGACAAGTTGTATGGTGTACATTGTCTGTGTCAGGTAGAGGAAGACAAGTTGTATGGTGTACATTGTCTGTGTCAGGTGGAGGAAGACAAGTTGTATGGTGTACATTGTCTGTGTCAGGTAGAGGAAGACAAGTTGTATGGTGTACATTGTCTGTGTCAGGTGGAGGAAGACAAGTTGTATGGTGTACATTGTCTGTGTCAGGTAGAGGAAGACAGGTTGTATGGTGTACATTGTCTGTGTCAGGTGGAGAAGACAGTTGTATGGTGTACATTGTCTGTGTCAGGTGTATGGTTGTACATTGTCTGTGTCAGGTGGAGGAAGACAAGTTGTATGGTGTACATTGTCTGTGTCAGGTGGAGGAAGACAAGTTGTATGGTGTACATTGTCTGTGTCAGGTAGAGGAAGACAAGTTGTATGGTGTACATTGTCTGTGTCAGGTGGAGGAAGACAAGTTGTATGGTGTACATTGTCTGTGTCAGGTAGAGGAAGACAAGTTGTATGGTGTACATTGTCTGTGTCAGGTAGAGGAAGACAAGTTGTATGGTGTACATTGTCTGTGTCAGGTGGAGGAAGACAAGTTGTATGGTGTACATTGTCTGTGTCAGGTGGAGGAAGACAAGTTGTATGGTGTACATTGTCTGTGTCAGGTGGAGAAAGACAAGTTGTATGGTGTACATTGTCTGTGTCAGGTGGAGGAAGACAAGTTGTATGGTGTACATTGTCTGTGTCAGGTAGAGGAAGACAGGTTGTATGGTGTACATTGTCTGTGTCAGGTGGAGGAAGACAAGTTGTATGGTGTACATTGTCTGTGTCAGGTGGAGGAAGACAAGTTGTATGGTGTACATTGTCTGTGTCAGGTGGAGGAAGACAAGTTGTATGGTGTACATTGTCTGTGTCAGGTAGAGGAAGACAAGTTGTATGGTGTACATTGTCTGTGTCAGGTGGAGGAAGACAAGTACACTGGTACTCCATAGCTGAAGAAGTTGTATGGTGTACATTGTCTGTGTCAGGTGGAGGAAGACAAGTTGTATGGTGTACATTGTCTGTGTCAGGTGGAGGAAGACAAGTTGTATGGTGTACATTGTCTGTGTCAGGTGGAGGAAGACAAGTTGTATGGTGTACATTGTCTGTGTCAGGTAGAGGAAGACAAGTTGTATGGTGTACATTGTCTGTGTCAGGTGGAGGAAGACAAGTTGTATGGTGTACATTGTCTGTGTCAGGTGGAGGAAGACAAGTTGTATGGTGTACATTGTCTGTGTCAGGTGGAGGAAGACAAGTTGTATGGTGTACATTGTCTGTGTCAGGTGGAGGAAGACAAGTACATTGTCTGGTCACTCCATAGCTGAAGAAGTTGTATGGTGTACATTGTCTGTGTCAGGTGGAGGAAGACAAGTTGTATGGTGTACATTGTCTGTGTCAGGTAGAGGAAGACAAGTTGTATGGTGTACATTGTCTGTGTCAGGTAGAGGAAGACAAGTTGTATGGTGTACATTGTCTGTGTCAGGTGGAGAAAGACAGGTTGTATGGTGTACATTGTCTGTGTCAGGTGGAGGAAGACAAGTTGTATGGTGTACATTGTCTGTGTCAGGTGGAGGAAGACAAGTTGTATGGTGTACATTGTCTGTGTCAGGTGGAGGAAGACAAGTTGTATGGTGTACATTGTCTGTGTCAGGTAGAGGAAGACAAGTTGTATGGTGTACATTGTCTGTGTCAGGTGGAGGAAGACAAGTTGTATGGTGTACATTGTCTGTGTCAGGTGGAGGAAGACAAGTTGTATGGTGTACATTGTCTGTGTCAGGTGGAGGAAGACAAGTTGTATGGTGTACATTGTCTGTGTCAGGTGGAGGAAGACAAGTTGTATGGTGTACATTGTCTGTGTCAGGTGGAGGAAGACAAGTACACTGGTACTCCATAGCTGAAGAAGTTGTATGGTGTACATTGTCTGTGTCAGGTGGAGGAAGACAAGTTGTATGGTGTACATTGTCTGTGTCAGGTAGAGGAAGACAAGTTGTATGGTGTACATTGTCTGTGTCAGGTAGAGGAAGACAAGTTGTATGGTGTACATTGTCTGTGTCAGGTGGAGAAAGACAGGTTGTATGGTGTACATTGTCTGTGTCAGGTGGAGGAAGACAAGTTGTATGGTGTACATTGTCTGTGTCAGGTGGAGGAAGACAAGTTGTATGGTGTACATTGTCTGTGTCAGGTGGAGGAAGACAAGTTGTATGGTGTACATTGTCTGTGTCAGGTAGAGGAAGACAAGTTGTATGGTGTACATTGTCTGTGTCAGGTGGAGGAAGACAAGTACACCCAGGGAGTTACATGGCTGAAGGAGCTGCTCTACCAGACTCAGTTTACAGCTGACAGACTGAAGATCATCGTAAACAGGATGACCAATGATATAGCAGCTTACAAGCGCAGTGGCTTCCGAGTAGTACGAACTGTCATCAACGAAGTTCTCTACAAGAAGAGTGAGTCATAATGAAATATAAGTTCTTTTAACAATTAACATAACCTACACTGAAGTTCTTACGCGTAAAGGTCCGAGTTAGAATTCTTCTTCAGCAGGGGCTCAGAGGTGGGTTTAAATTCCCTGCTGACCCCACAGTCTGATTATGTGGAGAGTAAACACAAGGCTATGTCCATTTTGTAGAGAGCTAAAATCACTCTTCGTCATCAACGAGGTAGAGCAAATATTTGTGGACTGGGTGATATTTACTTTGTTGTTGAGCTGGAGCGTCTGTTTGTGTGTGCAGATTGCAACAGTGTGGTGGCCAGCATCATCCGCCAGCAGAACTTCCTCACACAGCTCTCCAAGACCCTGGAGACAGACCCCAACAAGGTAGGGAGGGGTGAGACGGACCCCAACAAGGTAGGGAGGGGTGAGACGGACCCCAACAAGGTAGGGAGGGGTGAGACGGACCCCAACAAGGTAGGGAGGGGTGAGACGGACCCCAACAAGGTAGGGAGGGGTGAGACGGACCCCAACAAGGTAGGGAGGGGTGAGACGGACCCCAACAAGGTAGGGAGGGGTGAGACGGACCCCAACAAGGTAGGGAGGGGTGAGACGGACCCCAACAAGGTAGGAAGGGGTGAGACAGACCCAACAAGGTAGGGAGGGGTGAGACTGACCCAACAATGTAGGGAGGGGTGAGACGGACCCCAACAAGGTAGGGAGGGGTGAGACTGACCCAGCAAGGTAGTGAGACTGGCCCAACAAGGTAGGGAGGGGGTGAGACTGACCACAACAAGGCAGGAAGGGGGTGAGACGGACCCCAACAAGGTAGGGAGAGGTGAGACGGACCCAACAAGGTAGGGAGGGATGACACTGTCCCAACATGGTAGGGATGGGTGAGACAGACCCAACAAGGTAGGGAGGGGGAACACTTTTTATAGCAACTTCTTTATTTCAATAGATGTGATGTTTCGGTGTAGATCCCGACATGGTTATCAAGCCAATGATACACAACATACTGCACAAGGAGAACATATACACGAAGGATATTTGGATTTATACAGTTGACGAGGTTGATGTACATTATGTTGAGGGAGGGGTAAGACTGACTTAATTATTATGTTTTACTTCTTCTATTTAAGATTGGCTTAAACCTGTAAACCTGTTAAGTGAAAGCTTACAAACTCGGATCAGCTGGATGTCATTTTATGTAAATGTGCAGACTCTCTTCACCACTAGTTTCTATGTCCTGACACGATTTGTCTGTAAAACTGTAAAGCTACAATACTGATGTTGTGCAGGTTCTCGAGGACATCGAGAGTCTACGTAAACTCCTCACTATGCCCAGCAACATCCGTATCCACATGTCAGCTGATGTCAAGAAGTTGGCCAAACAGGAACCGCTGTTGCCATGGAAACAGTTTCTTGACAGCAAGGATTGTGGAGATAGCAACAGGTAATGTCCTGTCCAGGTTATGTGGCTGTGAGCTGGTGATAAAGTCTCCATGGTTACGTTTCTAGGTTTGTCTAAAGATCTGCATCAGATTGGGCTCTCCTTTCACATCAATGGACATAATTGGATATAACTGAATACTGTTCAAGGTAGCTTTAAACACTCACTCCCGCTCACACCCCAGCACCTACACTCACACAACATGTACACAAACATTCACACAACATGCATGCAAGCTCACACACAATCACACTTCCCTCACATATACTCACACACACAATCATGCTCTCTATCAAACACTCACACATAAATGGTCTCACATAATCACACAGTCTTTCTCTCACTACCCGTGAAGATCCGGGTTAGAATTGATCTTCAGTAACCCATGCTTGTCATAAGAGGCGACTAACGGGATTGGATGGTCAGGCTCGCTGACTTGGTTGACACATGTCATCAGTTCCTAATTGTGCAGATCGATGCTCATGCTGTTTATCATTGGATTGTCTGGTCCAGACTCTATTATTTACAGACCGCCGCCGTATGGCTGGAATATTGCTGAGTGCGGCGTAAAACTAAACTCACTCACTCACTCTTTCTCTCACACTCTCTCACACGTCTTTGTATGAGATGTTTCCATGGATCAGGCTCAGTGATTGGTTGATTACCTGTAATATCAGACAGTAGATTGTTAGCATGGACCATTACCTGTAATATCAATCACTTGATTGTTGGTGTGAGTTGGTGTTCATTATATCAGTCACTTGATTTGGGCATCCAGACTTCTGTATTTAACTGGAATATTGCTGAGTGTGACACACACATGCACACACACACACTCTCTCTCTCTCTCTCTCTCTCTCTCTCTCTCTCTCTCACACACACACACACACACACACACACACACCACTTCCTAGTGACTGAGATTTTCAGCAGATGTTGACCTGTTGTAGCTGTGTGGAGAGGACAAGTACCTACATCCAGACTTTTGAGGAGAGTCACAAGAAGTGTCTGCTGGTTGGGGTTGGATCTGTCGAGTCAGCGTTCTTCATCCAGGTGGTGCCGTGTGTATCAGACTTCCACCATGCCGACCTGCCAGCCATCATGGTGTTTATACAGTACATGACGCAGCTGGAGGGACCCATGTGGAGGCAGATCCGGGGCCTTGGACTCGCCTACTCCTACAGGTCAGTCATCTTAGACTTTACTATCACCTCATTTCTGAGGGTTTAAGAATCATAATGTGAATATTGTTTGCTTTTATATTATAAATTTGGGTAAAATTACGTTAAATATGCATCTCACTAACATGTAGGTAGAAATGAACAATTCAAGATGTTTATGCTCTAAAATTCCTTGTAGGATTTATGGTAAATCTCAGGTCATATTTTTAACTTCTAGATAAGATTCAACAAAGTGAAAACATTCTGTGGCTAGGAGCGGTGGGGTAGCCTAGTGGTTAAAGCATTCGTTCGTCATGCAAAAAGGCCTGGGTTCGATTCCCCACATGGGTACAATGTGTGAAGCCCATTTCTGGTGTCCCCTGCCGTGATATTGCTGGAATATTGCTAAAAGCGGCGTAAAACCCAACTCACTCACTCACTCACCCACTCACCCACTCACCCACTCACCAAGCGTGAGGAAAGTTAAGCATGCTTAGGTAAAAACAGGACCAAAATAGCTGGTATGGCTTCTTGATGATATCCCATCATAGAGGGAATAACATTACGCTTTGAAACGTGGTGACTGAATTCTACGTGTGTCACAAGGGAGACAATCTGCCAGAGATTGGACACTCCTCACAGAACTAACAGCTCCTGTGTTTCTATTACACTGCAGCATGTACATCAAGCCGGAAACAGGGCTGCTGTACTTTGTGTTGTCCAAGTCCACGCACGTCGTCAACGCCTACAAGGAGGGTCGGGACATTGTGGTCAGTATATCTGGAGTGGGCTTAAAATGAGGCTAACCAGCATACCTGATACATACAATAAATTCCCCCGGAAGAATTCTAAAGTTCTCAATTTAAAGTTTTTCTAATGCTTACGTTATGCAAAGTTGACATTTACTTAGGACTGAAAATGATGGATGGAAATGTTTCAAACTACCAACATTTTTAACAAAAGCATTCTTATAGCAACTTCTAAATGCCATTTAAAAAAGCTACTCACTCTTGGACAACAGTATGCTTTTTCCAAATTTGCTAGCCACAATAACAAAAGGTTTTTGCACACTTCAAACAAATGTTCCTGGAATATGATCATGTCATGCTAAAGGGTGTCAGCACACCGATGGCATGGCTCATGCTAGTGACCAGTGGCGGTCTGACTTGAGAGTTGGTTCACACATGACTTCCCTCCATGCTTCTGCAGATGGGCTACATCAATGGCAGCAATGAGCTGTCAGAGGTGGACCTTGAGTCAGCTCGGAGCAGCCTCATCTTCGAGATCATCGAGCAGGAGAAGACAGTGTCGGACGTGTGTATGGAGTCCATGCTGTCCTACTTCAGACAGGTTGACCATGAGTACAACAAGTGAGTCGACATCAGACTTAGTACAGTATGTATTTGTGTACACTAAGGGGCCTGTTGTAAGCTCTGGTTGAGATGAGAATTCAGTGGTAAGGCTATGTGATTCCACTTGCCGTCGCGCACTGATGATACTGTTCAATGCTTATGTCTCCAGTCACAGGTTTGTCTGGTCTGTGAGCTTGAGTACGCAAAATGAGAATATAGATACAAACATTTTCATATTTACTGATTAAGCAGTATCCTAGCCTGGCTCAGATGGAGATTGAACTGTCAATTGTAAATCCAACATTCTGCTTTTGCAAGAGTCTTAAAAGTGTTCAACTGACATTCTTCAGATCTATGTTGGAGAAGGTTTCCAAGGTAACCATTGCTGACCTCAAGCGAGTGGGGTCACAGTACATCGCCAGTCTGTTTGACCCGAAGAAGTTCCGCTGTGCAGTCTGCGTCAACCCTTCAAAGGTGGATGAGGTTGTCAAAGAATTTAAAGAGTGAGTTTACAAGATCATTGCTTTCTTGTTTAATAAGAGAATGGTTGGACTGATATCTTCATCTCTGAATGATCAAGGAGTTGAGAGTGTGAGAACCAAAAAATATATATACTGCAGAATTTAATGTTTACTACTTTATTTAAACTGCTTTTTGTCACAAGGAAAAGGCACAAGTTTATTTAATATATGTAGCCCTTGGCCAAAATGTTAACTGCTAAGCATCATATAGTAAGACAACCAATGTGATATGTGTAAATACTCCTGACTTCCTTTATAGTGTAATAAATCTCCATTATTAACCATTTAAATTACATGTTGGGGACTGAGCCATTTTGGGGGGCAGTGGGGTAGCCTAGTGGTTAAAGCATTTGCTCGTCACGCCTAAGGCCCAGGTTCGATTCCCCACATGGGTACAATGTGTGAAGCCCATTTCTGGTGTCCCACGCCCTGAAATTGCAGGAATATTGCTAAAAGCTGTGTAAAACTAAACTCACTTGGGGTCTGTGATAATCACTTGTTACATTTTTTGTAGCCTTAACCAGAGAAGGTGGATATTTGAGATTTCTGAGTTTGAGAAAAGTGATATTTTCACTGCAGTGAAATTATTACATTGCTGGAACTACTTCATTAAAATTGTCTGTCCAGTATGTTGTCACACACGATAAATGGCAATGTAAACATATGCTTTTCACCACTTGAATTTGTTCAGCAGGCATGGGCAAACAAGTGTGTTGTCTGTGTGGCTGAACAAAGATGTTATACAATCTTTAGTTTACAGTTTGGAGAATGTGGATTTCAGTTGTCAAGCATTCATGGATTAATTTGTTTCAGTATCATGAGAGTGTCTCGTGAGATAGAATGTATTGTTGTCGAGTAGCATGAAAATATCACGACAGTTAAAATATTCACTATGACTTTAACAGTACCTTGTGTATGTTGTATATTTTCAGGGTGTCTGTGCACTTAACAGTGCTGCCATCTCTAGAAGACAACTTCCTCTGTGAATATGAAGTCTGAGCATGCTCCAAGTTGCATTATGGGAATTTGTGTCCTTGACATTCAAGATCTGTGGAGAGATTGTCTTTCATGTAAATAAGTATCATGTGCATTGGAAAATGCCGAGTGGAATACTGTTGAACTATCATCCACAGTCCTTGGCTTGCATATCACTGAAGGTTACTCGTTTCTTATGATACAGAAATTTCTTGACAGTCAAGCAGAATTATTCCCCATTGTTGAAGGACTCGAACATGTAAGGCAGAAGGACAAACCCAGATAACCAATGATGGGACTTCCCTTCGTGATATCCATCACACATGATGGCAGATTGTGTTGTTTTTTAAGCAGTGTTGACAGTATGTCTCACTGTGAGAGAAATTTAAGTATAGTCCAGTTGTTGAATAAGCTGAAATCAAACAAGTTTAATCAAAGAAGTGTTACTTGTTTAATCCCCAAATTATGATTGTCCAGCTGACAATATTGTTTAGGTATAATGTGTAGCTAGACGTTGTATATGTGGGGTATACAGCTAACATGTAAAACATATTTTCCCTGTGTCATGTTATAACCCACTGGAATAACTAAGAAGTAGAGGAGTTTAAGATATGGTAAACATTATACCTGCTGTTGGTCTCAATGCCTTGACTGAACATGCAGTCATTGACTGATTTTTAGGTGATGTCAGCAGTTTTCAGGAGTTCCTATTAGTGATACAAGATGCAATAAAGAATGCAAAGATATGATCAAGCACTGTAGTCCTCCACGTGCTGTTTTTGTCAAACACCCTCAACTGTTATGCAATTAAACATGTTTATATATTTCATAACTCTGTGTCTGTTATTATATATCAGGTCCTTAGAATCTGTCAACACCACTTGTTCATTCAGCTTATCAGAGACTAATAAAGTTTTTCTAGGTCTTCCTGCTGCAATTGGTTGTGTAGAGTTGTGTCCCTTAGGTGTGCAACAATAAAAACCGAGTTTATATCCCAGATTCACACTGATGGTATTACTAGGTTTATCAACACCATGTATTTCCTCAAAGTCTGAGATCTACATCACTCCAAGCTTTCTTTTTCTCAAAACTTGGTGACTTAACTGAAATACAGTTCAAAACTGTTACACCACAATCACTCTCACTCACTCACTCGCATTTGGTTTATGCCAAGTGTGTCATCATTTGTTTATAGCTTATGCATTTGTTGGCTTACCCCACACTTCAAACAAAATTCTGACGGTGTGATGTCAGTAAACATCAGCGGATTCGCAGGTTGACATCATGAGCACTGATCTGCATAATTTGACGGAATGCATCAACAAGTCAGCAATCCTGACCACAGATCATATCTGTTTCCTTTTTGCACTGTACTCTTCTTATTTAAGACTAATAGTAATGGCTATTTATAAAGCGCCTGTCTCCATGCACTTGTGTATGCTCAAGGTGCTAACACATTATCGCCCCGGATAACCCAAGCTGCCTGTGAGGCACTAGATTGTTAACAGTCATATCATATGACTTATCCCACTTGGTACCCATTGCTGGGTGTATAAGGGCAATTCATTAACGAACTTACCCCGGTACTTTCCTAAGGTGAGACCACGTCACATGTGCTTTGTTGAGCAATTCCCATGTGTTAGTGTTACAACTCATTAAGGTTGGCACTTGTGTTTTTGTATCCTTCTTTCATCTTTTTATGAAATAAGTTTACCGAAGAATATATGATAAAAACACATTTAATCATATTTAATAAGAATTTAAAGTTTAATTTCAATTTCCTTACTATTTAGTATTACATTAATTAAACAAGATATAATCATGTCCATATTGTATTATGTTTCAATCAGTCGCTCCAGTGCAAGCTCTACCATAGAATTGTCACCTGATACTTCTGAACATTCACCCGTGAAGGTCTAGGTTAGAATGAACCTTCAGTAACCCATGCTTGTCGTAAGAGGCGACTAACGTGATCGGGAGGTCAGGCTCGCTGGCTTGGTTGACACATGTCATCTGTTCCCAATTGCGCAGATCGATGCTCATGCTGTTATTCACTGGATTGTCTGGTCCAGACTCGATTATTTACAGACCGCCGCCATATAGCTGGAATATTGCTGAGTGTCGCGTAAAACTAAACTCACTCACTCACTCTGAACATTCAGATACCACTGACTGGCTTTACCTCTGTACCACCTGACCAGTAGGGTTTCCGAGATGGTCACACTATGCTGTTCATACTAAACTTGCTGAATGTTGTGTTAAAGAACAAGCTCAAGTTTGAGATGCATGTTGGTAGGGGTGGCAATTGTTTTCTCGTGCAATTTGCTGTGAAGAGATGCACCCCTTACTTATACAACAATCAGATTATCTTGGGTTTAGATCCAAGATTTTCCCTGATTATGATCCTTGGTTTGTTTGTACCATGCCATGCCTGTTGGTGTCACCAAGGAGCTACAGATACATGTATCTATAACTGATCTAGGTTTATGTACTACTATGTACCTGCATACCCAACTCACACCATGGAGTCACACAATGTCAGAATCTCATGTACCGGTAAATTTCCACCCTGAGGACTCAGTTTGCTTATCAAGAATAAACAGATGGTTGCCTGAAGCTCTTTCACTGATATAAGCTAGAAATATTAACCAAAAAAAACAATGTCCCAAAATTATGTTTATTTCAAGAAATAATTCTACATTTTTGGCAGTGATATGCTGATTCCATGAGAATGACAGTGTTGACACTGTATCTCCTGACAAACTAGCAACATTCTCGACACTGTATCTCCTGACAAACTAGCAACATTCTCGACACTGTAGATCACACTGTCCTAGGCTTCAAACAACTTGGGGATTGCCAGTTGGGCTGCAATTTGTCAACAATGTTCTAAAATTAGAACAACCAGTTTCATTTCAAGTATTTTCCCCTTGATTTTGAAAATTTCGAAAGTCAGGGTTTTTTATAACATTTTCTGTATACAATATCAACTGATCTGATATGGTCCCGTGTTGTGAAAAGTTGTTGAAAGGCTTAAAGGATCCTGTTTTGAATTATGGACAGAACTTTCTAACTACAATGAAGAATTTGACTACCTTGGGTTGTTCAAGGGATATTCTTTGGTATCTGAGATGATTTTATTCCAAATGATAAGAATGAAGCTGACAGCATGCTTGGTACGTTGTAATGTGATATGTGAAGTTACTCCCAGATTCTTAAAGCACTATATTTCAATGATAATACTACAATATGTGTAACGAAATCAATGTTTTGTACTTGCAGAAAGCCCTATTATTTGGACGGAGTAGAAAATGATTGACAAAATATTTATCACAAATTTCTCTTGGCAAGAAATTGCTTTTAGCACTGTGCATAGCCTTGTGCATTTGTGTCAATGAAAGCAGACTGGCCCTGCCTCAAAGCCGAACTTTTGCCATGGGTTTCCATAGTCCATCGGCATGAAACTCACTATCGGCAGGCGGTTCACCTTGCGTGTACGGATAGAGATTACTGTGAAGCCATTCTGTCTTCGGTCCTGCAATACAAAGTCATAGTTTAGTACACTGAGTGATTCACCTTTTGTGAATATCAAAAACCTATAACAGCTAGGGAGCATCAGAATAAAACCTCAGACACTGTTACCCATAAGGGAATTAAACCTTGGCCTTCAGTGCAACAGGTGAACGCTTTAACCACTAGGCTACTTCTTCTTGCAAGTAAAAAGTTTTACCACAGTGTCCTGCACTGTTAATATCATCCCTAAAATTAAGCCAGTCTATTTTGTAATTAAATTTTCATACAATATACTGCTTCAGAAAACTGTCTAAACAAGCAGGAATGCGTGCATTTCAGTTTAGGAATGCTTGCATTTATATTCTAAGGCTATGCACTGGGGTCAGAGTTTCTGTTACTGTTGAGTACTTTCACAGTGTGACTATAGCTAGTAACTTGTTATCATAGTATGACAGGTAGGTCTGTCAATTACTTGGGAAAAACAGTTGTTGGTATAATGCATTATCAAGACAGACCAGGGCCATGGTTTAGGTGCATTTGGATAACAACAAGCTGTTTATCTCATTGTGGGACAGAAATATATGTAGAAGTGCTGATGCAGTGTACATGACATTTCTTGAATTTCTTCATTTAAAGATAACAATAAAAATTAATCCATGGCCAGAAGAAATTATTTATTTATTTAACTTAAACAATGGATGGCTAAACCCAAAATGATCACACTGCACAGCATCCACTCAGTTGCAGGGACCTACATGAAAAGAGTCTTGCATTAAAAAGTTAAAGGTAGGTTAAACCAACAAGGCATACTTACACTGCAACCATCATGTAGAACTTCTATCCACTTCTTCTGTTGATAATCAAATTCATAGTCGTTCTCCCCAAGTAGCGTGAGGGCGTTCTCGAAGCCTTGGTTGGCCTGATCGTACCAGGCGACAGAGCCAGAGCAGAAGAAGGTGAACTGTTGGATGGCCTCCTCACTCAGTAGTCTCAACAGAGACATCTGTATGCGGGAGCCAGGGGTGCCATAGCGGATCTGAAACATGCCATGCAGGAGGTTAATACAAAACAAATTTCATTTCTTGCTTTACTTATTTTCTTACTATCAGCATACAAGAAAACTATAAGATCTGATGATTTAAATTTTATTTAAAGTTCTGACATCTTGTAGCCTACATTTGTATGGATCATGGTGTATTGTAATTCGATATCCAGATTTTGATCCAGATCATTATAGTTAAACAGTGATGTAAATGTGTGTAGGTGACTGCCAATACTGTGTCCTTTCCTATAACACTCACCACTATCTAGACAAACATTCAATGTTCTACACCATAGAGGAGGCTGGAGCTCCTAATGGTTCTCAGTGTTAGTATAGACTGAAACTATCTTGTCCTTCACTGTACTACAGGTTTTACCTTGTGTGCCCCATCCATCTCATGGTACCATTTGTGGGGACTGGCTGGGTCTCTCTCCCAGTACTGCTCAGAACTCTGTAGGACAAAAACATGGCGGCATCAGAAAAGCAGAAACATTATCACAAAACATATAATAGTTGAAGTTCTTGAAAGCCATTTAGAGTTGGATGAACATAAATACATGACACGTTTTATGGGTAATAACTTTTTTTTTATTCTTTACACGACATTTCAGAGCTAATTCTTGCCTCCTTCATCTGATGCTGTGAAAGAGGTGTCATCTCAATGTTCTGACATCACATGTTAGATAAGTTGGTTACACAAGGTACCGCGTCGTGACAAAAGTATTCGCGATTAGGCAAATATGGCCATTCAGCTTTGATTGAAACGTCTCATATTTTGTCTCTTGCTTCGCAAATACTGAACAGATTTTCATGTTTGATACGTCGCTTGTGAGCTTGATATTCGATTAGTGCGCATGTGCAATGACGTCATATGTCGTCTGCTTGGAATGCAGAAATCGTTTGAAACGGAATGGAAAGAAAACTTCTGACATTGTGAAATTATTAGGTGTACCTGAATCAACAATTTGGTATGTTTGGCAAAAATATTTGAATCGTGGTAATGTTGAAAACGGCCGACAAAGTGGTAGCCCGAGAAAAGTGAGTATTCGTAGTGAACATGTTTTGTTGAGGAGTGTCCGCAAGAAGAGATATAACATTCTAAGATAAATTACCCATGATTATAATGTTGGTCAAAATCAACAAGTAATAAGTAGAACAATTCAAAGAGTTTTGCATCGGAATGGTGTTTTTCGTCAGGTTATTAGAAAGCTCCTTGTTGTGAAGGAAGTGAACAGAAGGAAACGACTTCACTGGTGTTTGGAAAGGAGAATTTGGACAGTACAAAATCAGTGGAAACAGGTGATATTCAGTGATGAATCGCAGGTAGTTATTGGTCAGAATGGAAGAGTTTTCATTTGGAGAAGTGTGCATGAAGCCTATCGTCCCGAATGCATGATTCACTCGAAACAGGCCAGGTTATCAGTTATGATCTAGGGTTCCTTAACTTGGTATGGTGTTGGCACCTTGTGTCGTGTTGATGGTAATATTAATGCTGTCAAGTATCGTGAAATACTTGAAGACAACCTCTGGCCCGTTATAGCTCGGCACTTCAACAACAAACCATATCGGTTTCAAGATGACAATGCCCCAGTTATACACTGTATCGACACAGTAGTCCTCTGACATTGGACAAAGTACCACTACTCCTCTATCATTACACAATCGATATAGCAAAGTATCACTAGTCCTCTGTTACACATGGTAGCAGTTGTCCTCTGTTATTACACACAGTATCAAAGGTCCTCTATCATTACAGAAAGGATCCAGAGTCCAATGTTGGTACACTAAGTATTAGTATTCCTTTCTTGTTACACAGCATATGTTGGAGAAATAAAAGGGTATTTACCATCTTGGTGCGAGATGTTGGGTAGATACAGGTTTCTCCTTTGGATGTGAGGTTGCACCACACTTGAAGGGCGTCATCTACAGATCCCAGGTTGGGATCAATCCAGTACCAACCTGGAAAACAACATGGATCACCATGAATCCTAACTAGAAGTTTTGATTAGTGCCCAGGGCTGTGGAAACTAATTGTCTCTGGCTATATACATAGAGACTCACATGAGTTCAATATCCTTCAGTGTGACTAGACACCATGTACCTGTATCCCCCCATCTGATCAGAGGAGTGGTGGGGTAGCCTCGTAGTTATTGCTGGAATATTGCTAAAAGCAGCGTAAAACAAAACTCGCTCACTCACTCATCTGATCAGACATCATGGCACATCCTCATTAGACAACATATCTCAAAATAATGGGTGATAGAACTTAAGTGAGATAATTGGTTGTAAATGTTGCCTACCATTCTTGAAGTTAGGATGTCCAAGCATAATTTCCCTACAGGAAGTGGCTGGGTTTTCGCGTGTTCCCCGTGGGTACTTGATATTGTGTACCTCCTCCTGAAGACCATCGATGTGCTTGAAGACGATAGACACAAGCTCTTTCATCACATGCTTCATCTTGATCTCGTCAGTTGGTGCCTTGATGTCCGTATGCTTCTTCTGGAGACGGTTAAATGCTGACTGGAATAGACAAGGTTACTTTTTCATGGCTGACTTGTTCAAGTGAGTTAGGTGGCTGCTTTCAGTGCTGCTTTCAACAGTGCTTTTAGTAATCTACTAACCTTTCAGCTTAATGTGGGATGAAAACTAGAAGAGGCACAGGGTATAAACATATACCACCTTGATGAAACCTAATAGCATGGGTATAAAGCTGACAGAACTAGAAATATGTTCAGGGGATTTGAACACACAATTATAGGCACAGCAAATTGAAACATTTACACAACTGAGCCATCTGTGTGACTGAGTTTTTCCATTCCCAAGATGTATTCATTATGTATACACTTCGAACAAGACATGTTCCTAACCTCTTGTTCCTGAAATTGAAATTGTACATCTCTCCATTTTCAACAATCGACAAAAATATATACTCTCATGAGTTATTACTGCCAGCATCACCATCTTTGGCATCAGTTGTCATTATCAACACTGGTCATGTCATAAACTCTATGGACATCAACTGTACGGAAGTCCATGTACCAACCTGCACATCATTCTGGATGTCCATGTCATCCACAGATCGTCGCCTCCTCCTCCTCCTTCTCCTCCTGCGTTTGGAAGGCTGTGGGGGGACCATGTCCGCCAGGGGCAGGGAACCAGCATCACCAGGGGGACCGGGGGGTCCTGGGGGTCCCTACAACAGTGAGTGAGTGAGTGAGTGCGTGAATAGGGTTCAGGCCCTTTCCTGTTGTTGAGTTGGGTTGGGCTTTACGTCACATCGGCATTATTCTGGCCATATAGTGACCAGAACAAGTCTGCATTAGTAAACATTGTAAGTATAGAGTCAAAATGAGTTTTATTTCAAAAACATGTAATTTTCTGAATAAAATTGATATTGTTATACTTATCCTGACTCATGCTTATTTGTCATAGCACTAAATTTAAAGGCAGTCAATTTGTTAGTCACATTACAAAGTTACAATTTATGATACAGATCAACTTCCCTATCTAGCACCTATATGGGCAACACAGTCACAGATAGATATTAAGTTTGTGTTGATAGTCAGATTTTTGTTTATTATCTCATGGGCACTTTGTTGTGTATTACATTATAAGCACTTTCTTGAGTATTTCATGGGGAAATACTTGTGTATTACCTCATGGGCAGATATTGGTGTATTCATCCACTGGGAGGTACTAGTGAATAAACTCAGAGGCACATATAAGATCTAAATTACAATGGGGGTCCCAGACACTTAAATATCATCATTAATACTGTGTTGTAATCATGTTTTCATTCAGTTACTGTTACTGTAACGGTATTGTGTATCATGATCATCACATTGTTACAGTAATAAAATTGCAAATGATACCATAACCCGGCTAGTAGCAGACTCAGTGATAACTTATTGTTACTTGACCAAAATTTTTACAAAGCGTATTGGGACTTTTTCTGCGTCCCTTTGGAAGGGCTTATAAATTTTGTTGCATCTGTTGTCAATTTGTATGTGTATAGGACGCATGGAGCACGGTGGTGTAGTGGTTAGCTTGCTGGCCTCTCACACCAAAGGCCCGGGTTCGAATCCCGGTGGAGACACCAAAATTTGTGACCTGGGTCTCATACTGTGTTGTGTCCCTGGGCAAGGCACTTCGTCCACATTGCACTCAGTCCACCCAGCTGTTCAAAATGGGTACCTGAGAAGCGGATGTACGGACCTATACAGTCGCGCTTAGCGCTTAGTAGCAGCTTTGAAAGTACAATTCCGTCAGGGTAATAATGTAACGCCAGTGAGCAGCATCGTGTTGGATTCTAGGCGCAAAAATTAGCATTACATTACATTACATTACGCAGAAATTCGCGTCCCACTAATCCCTGTAGAATGCATTATTACTACTCACCAGTCCTCCAACATCTCCTTTCGGTCCGGTCATACCCTGAACACACAGACATTATACATTACAACTGGTCATAAACAATTGTAAACAACATACATAACATCTTGATTCTAAAATACACAATCAATATATCTTTTGGTACTGTGTAGCGATCATTCCACCATGATGGTGTGACCTAAACTTTGTTTTTCATTCATTAATAGCAGTACTAAGAATATTTCATTCATCACCATCCTTAAAATTCAGGACAATTAAGGCCAGACCAATTATATTTCTTGTTTTACTGATCCGCCAGTCATATTTTTTCAAGAATAAGAATTTTTTTTTATTAATTTTCCCCACTCAAAAAAAAATCTAATATTTTTATTGACCAAAAATGTAAACTCACACGAAAATTAATTTTAGATGCCCCATATGCACATCATAAACTGCCAAAAGTAAAATATGTTTAGTATTTAAAAAGAATATTTCTTTGACTGGTGATTCATTTTTTTCCCTCCTGCTTTTATAATGTCTGAGGACAAAAATCCATAAAAACAAGATATAAAATTGGTCAGGCCTAATTTCAATAAACAAACTGATTAGAAAAAGCCTTAAGAACAGATTAGTATTGAATGAATCATGAGAAAATGATGCTAATAAACAGTTAATACTCACAGCTTCTCCTTTAGGGCCAGGGGGCCCAGTTGGACCCTGTAATGGAGGAAAATATATCACTAAGTACACACATCAGTTGTCCTGTTAGAGAAACATTTGTATTGACAAATCCTTACAATATCATAAAGGGCAGACTCTCCCAGGAGACATGAAAAATGATGATAATTTTATTAGGGGTGAAACAGTATACCATCGTATTAGTAGAACTGCAGTATTTTGCCTTCGGTTCGGTATACTGTAACGTCTATCCAAAAATTCGGTATTTTCAGTTTTTGTTCCATCATTTTATTAATCTATCTAAACCTTTTCTAAAATGTCTAGAAATCGAATCATTTTGTCAAAATCTATGCATTTCTTTGCTTGTACCGCAATACGTACGATACCGTGGTAAGAGCATATTGTTTCACCCCTAAATTTTATGGATAAACAACTTCTTTATTCTGTCATTCCTCTGCTCTCTTAGTTGTATATCCATAAAATGATCATTATTCTTCATCTCTAAAAATGCCCATCAAAGAAGGAGACATGAATCAGATGTTGGACCATGTTAAAGGTGTCCTCTGGAGAGGGTTGACAAGCAACAACTGCAATCTCAGAGAGTGACTGTGTTTACATGGAAAGTTCACCAGTTGACTCACAATCTGACTTGGTAGATCCTGTATGGATCAGTTAAACCTTTCCTGGGTTTATTCCAGCCCTGTTATTACCTACTCTCTAACCTATTTACAGACAGAGACAGGTACTGACATAAGGCATATACAGCCCTAATATACTTACAGGCATACCGGGAGTCCCGTCGATACCCTGAGGTCCAGCTGATCCGAGAGGACCCTGAAATGATACAACATACACTTGGTACAGTCCTCTCGAGCTGAATATGCACAATATATGCTACAAAATGCATCTCTTCTGGTCTCATCATTCTTGTACAAATGGTTGAATGGACTGATTCAATACACCAATACATTAGCACTGACAACAATGGCTGATCCTTTTCAGCATGAGAACTGGAGCCAACTCAAGACTCAGATTCCCATGCATCTCAAAAACGTTTGGTTATTCACATCAACAATATGATCATACTGATTCAAGAAATATATTCTAATCAGTAACAGCAGATGTTTAGCTATGACCCATCTGTGGTCTGCAGAACCTACCAAGTCTCCCTTCTCTCCCTTGGTTCCCTCAACACCTCGTGGTCCAGGCTCTCCCTTGGGGCCAGGCTCGCCATCCATTCCCATCAGTCCCATTGGTCCACGGTGACCCTTTTAACATATGCAATCATGTACTCCAGGAACCTTGTGCATACACAACAACACATCGCATTGGTCATGGTGACCCAGACAAATTGAATTGTAGAATCTGACAAAAACAGTTGTTAAATAGAATTGAAATCATCTCAACATTTTCAGCACATACCTAATCAACATATATATACCAAGTTTCATCAATAAGTTATCAGAACTCTCAATTCCCCTAGACTTGTGAGGTCATGGTGATTCAGTTAACACACTCAACTCTAGATTCCCATTGACATATGAGGTCATGGTGACCCAGTTAACATACATAACTCTAGATTCCCATTGACATGAGGTCATGGTGACCCAGTTAACACACACCACTCTAGATTCCCATTGACATGTGAGGTCATGGTGACCCAGTTAACATACATAACTCTACATTCCCATTGACATGTGAGGTCATGGTGACCCAGTTAACACACATCACTCTAGATTCCCATTGACATGTGAGGTCATGGTGACCCAGTTAACACACACCACTCTACATTCCCATTGACATGTGAGGTCATGGTGACCCAGTTAACATACATAACTCTACATTCCCATTGACATGTGAGGTCATGGTGACCCAGTTAACACACACCACTCTACATTCCCATTGACATGTGAGGTCATGGTGACCCAGTTAACACACATAACTCTAGATTCCCATTGACATGTGAGGTCATGGTGACCCAGTTAACACACACCACTCTAGATTCCCATTGACATGTGAGGTCATGATGACCCAATTAACATACACAATTCCAGATTCCCATTGACAAGTGAGGTCATGGTGACCCAGTTAACATGCATAACTCTAGATTCCCATTGAGATGTGAGGTCATGGTGACCCTGTTTTAGTACCTTAACTCCCTTTACACCTCTGTTTCCTTTAGGGCCAGCAGGTCCAATTGGTCCCTGAAAATAAAAACAAAATAGTTAGTGTCATCAGATCTGTCATTCCTTCTATTGTCTATGGTAATTTCCCCTTTAGACTGAAACGAAAGTGAGTTATTGCTTTGCTTCTGTCCAGGCAAGCCAGTGATCAGTAACATCCGATCCATAATGTTGAAGACGCCACAATCAGCCAGGTCTAACACTGTAGTTGAGTTGGTTTAGGAATATTCTAAAACATAGCATGGAGTCTTACATTCTCACTTCCCTTCAATAGTCTTGGCAACACAGATATGGGATACTGGGGCCTATCCTTCCCTTGAATAGTCTTGATATTAAAATGGGGCTATAGATGGCTAACAACTGAAGATAGATCACCCTACTAGAGACCATGGGGACTCACAGTATTGGGATATACTTACAATAGATCAGCATACTAGAGACCATGGGGACTCACAGTACTGGGATATACTTACGATAGATCAGCATACTAGAGACCATGGGGACTCACAGTACTGGGATATACTTACAATAGATCAGCATACTAGAGACCATGGGGACTCACAGTATTGGGATATACTTACAATAGATCAGCATACTAGAGACCATGGGGACTCACAGTATTGGGATATACTTACAATAGATCAGCATACTAGAGACCATGGGGACTCACAGTACTGGGATATACTTACAATAGATCACCCTACTAGAGACCATGGGGACTCACAGTATTGGGATATACTTACAATAGATCAGCATACTAGAGACCATGGGGACTCACAGTATTGGGATATACTTACAATAGATCACCATACTAGAGACCATGGGGACTCACAGTACTGGGATATACTTACAATAGATCAGCATACTAGAGACAATGGGGACTCACAGTATTGGGATATACTTACAATAGATCAGCATACTAGAGACCATGGGGACTCACAGTATTGGGATATACTTACAATAGATCAGCATACTAGATACCATGGGGACTCACAGTATTGGGATATACTTACGATAGATCAGCATACTAGAGACCATGGGGACTCACAGTATTGGGATATACTTACGATAGATCAGCATACTAGAGACCATGGGGACTCACAGTATTGGGATATACTTACGATAGATCAGCATACTAGAGACCATGGGGACTCACAGTATTGGGATATACTTACAATAGATCAGCATACTAGAGACCATGGGGACTCACAGTACTGGGATATACTTACAATAGATCAGCATACTTGAGACCATGGGGACTCACAGTACTGGGATATACTTACGATAGATCAGCATACTAGAGACCATGGGGACTCACAGTATTGGGATATACTTACAATAGATCAGCATACTAGAGACCATGGGGACTCACAGTATTGGGATATACTTACGATAGATCAGCATACTAGAGACCATGGGGACTCACAGTACTGGGATATACTTACAATAGATCACATACTAGAGACCATGGGGACTCACAGTACTGGGATATACTTACAATAGATCAGCATACTAGAGACCATGGGGACTCACAGTACTGGGATATACTTACGATAGATCAGCATACTAGAGACCATGGGGACTCACAGTATTGGGATATACTTACGATAGATCAGCATACTAGAGACCATGGGGACTCACAGTATTGGGATATACTTACGATAGCTCCCTGGTCTCCAGGAATGCCGGGGGGTCCGGATGCTCCAGGTTCACCCTGAAAGTAGAGATTACCACATTATCATACGTGTCCTACAGATTGTATGATACGAGAGTCATAATGATTGTATATCCCAAGCAAGCGTGAGGGTAATTCATGAAATCGAACACAAGTAACATGCAATTATTATGACACACGTGTGGATCCTGGGATAGAGGTGAATGTACACAACTTTGCTGAGGGAGATGCAATGGGCAATGCCATATCCAAAGGGTCAGCCTGTATGTTTGGATAGCAGTCACTGCTGTTCTGTCTAAGCAGTCTGAATTACTTCACAATGGTACATGACATGGTACATGATTCAACTTACCACTGGTCCAGGTTGTCCAACGGGTCCAACAGGTCCATTAGCTCCAGCGGGACCCTTTGGGAAAATATGACAAATACTGATTATAACAAATTTACTTGGGGAGTGAATTTTGCTTCATATGAATTTGTTAATAAAGTCAGTTGAAGGAAATTTTTAATTTTACTGTTCAACTTGATGAATTAAGGGAGGGTGAACTAGCCTATCATCTTCTTCATTCTGTTAATAATGTTAAAACATGTTTGAATTGGGATAATTGTTGTTTTGTTTGTACAAGTGAGGAAAATATTTGTTTGAGTAGATGTTACTGCTGGGAAGTCGCTGGGATACAATACATTAGGTTTTTCCATCAATTATATTTCACTATTTTTTATTTTTAAAAATAATTATTTTTGTGAGGTTGTCATGTTACTCACAGGTGGTCCAGGTGCTCCTCTCTGTCCATGGGGTCCTCTCAGACCACGATCTCCCTTCTCACCAGGGCCGCCATAGCTGCCCTGCACTCCAGGAATACCCATCTCACCCCATCAGCACAATACACCACAGCTGACCACAGCTATATAACATCACTATATCTCCCACAATCCATCACTAATTATATCTCCACCCCATCTCACCCTGCAGCACAATACACCACAGCTATATAACAGTTATATCTCACTCTCAGCATCACTACCCATCTCACCCCCTGCAGCACAATACACCACCACTGCTATATAACAGTTACAGTTATATCTCTCACCCTGCAGCACAATACACCACAGCTCCATCACTACCCATCTCACCCTGCAGCACAATACACCACAGCTGACCACTGCTATATAACAGTTATATCTCACTCCATCACTACCCATCTCACCCTGCAGCACAATACACCACAGCTGACCACTGCTATATAACAGTTATATCTCACTCCATCACTACCCTTCTCGCTAACAAAGCTAATTATCATAACAGTGATAAACAGAATGTTCACCTGTTATTAAATAATGCATTTGTTGCGGCTTACACTATCAACAAGGTCAAGTTCAATTATCAAACCTGGCAACACTGATATGAGTCTACAAATATTTGAAACTGAAACCATAACAACATAACTATATCCCTGTGATAATAACTCCACAAAGACATACCTGTTTTCCAGATCGTCCTGGCAGACCAGGTTCTCCTTGAGGTCCAGGTGGTCCCTATGCAAGGCAGGTGAATAAGTCAAGCATATTCTGGTATATATAATACTGTTGTTTCATGACAATAATATCAATAAGAGAAACAGATACATAATCTGAACTCAAAAAGAAACTATACCAAAAACATTTATTCCCATTATTACATACTTTGGATAATGTGAAGGAAATGGCTCTTAAATTTTGTGCCAAATACAACCAAATGTGTCTGATAAACAAAAGACAAGTGTGACTTGCAACAAAAAATGTGCTTTTTGCCACAATGATGTATGTACACATAGGAAAAAAAGTATGGGAATTGTTTCCTTGGTCACATTAACAGAAAAAGCTTATTTGCTGAACTGTTATCCAGACATCACAGCCATGATCAAAGTTAGAACGTGTACTATCAGCAATTAGCAAAATTACATCCATAAATTACCCACAATGGCAAAAAGATCCGTGTTTCACTGTTGAGAAAACTGCAACATGTCGTCATCAGTTGTTCATTATGTCCCAAACTGATTACATTATTTCATCTAAAGAATGCAATGCATTAAGTGAAGTTTCTCTACGGGTTAACATTTAATACTTTTTACCTTTATTTTGTCTTTTACAATAAGTAATATATGGCAGAACCACTTTCAAACTTTAAAATCCCTGAATGGGATCAAGACACTGAAACCAAGTGCAGAACTGCCAGGATCTCTTGTTTGGCAAGCTATTGTTTCAGCCACTGGGCACACCCATATAACATGCACTACTTGAAACTGAACTACATTGGTGGCATGGGGTAAGACCTATGTTTGGACAGTCTCAGCATCTCACCATGACACCAGGTGGTCCTGGCTCTCCATCAGTTCCTGGTGTTCCAGACTCTCCCTGGAACATAAGCAGTGTATAAGTTCAATAACATACCACTGAGGGTATATAATACTATATCACAGTGTACACTGTCTGTCCACTGAGGTATGTTATGCTGCTAGTTTATAAAGCAGTTTTTGTTGTGAGTCATACTACACCAAATAATTTGTTTCTATTGCTACTTTAAGGCCAGACTGTGATCACCTATGCTTGTCATAACTGTTGGTGGCTCAGTTAAGTTTGTAAAAATTGCAATGCCACCACAGAAGTTAATGGGAAAATATTTGGTTTTGTGTAACCTGTAAACTCAACAGGGAGCTGTGAATGAAATAACCACAGTCTTATGAGCATCAGTTGGCTCATTTGGTCAATACATATGTCACTTATTATAATAAGATGGTTTTAAGCTCCTTTTAACAATAACCTTGCAATATTACAGCATGGCACACTCAAAATGGGCTTCACACATTGTACCCAAGTGGGCAATGAACCATAGCCTATTGCCATGACAAGTGCCTGATTTAACCACTGACCCTGTTATTACTACTATCACTAGAACTATCATTATTATCCCCTACCTTCTGTCCAGATTCGCCTGCATCTCCAGGTGGGCCAGTCTGACCAGGCAGACCCTGAAACACAAGCCAAAGATGGTCAAATGTTTTCAAAGAAATGCTCACATGTTAAAATCTAAATGTAAAGCCCAAGGATTCTTTAAACTGATTTATTAGGACACTTCTCTCCTTGTTAAAATGGCTCATCCTAATTCACTATAAACATATTCACATCCAAATAAACAGGCTTTCATGACTATTTATAGACTGTGCTGAATCATTTGCTAAATGACATTATCAAATAGCATTATAGAAAACTACTTATAGCATATGTATCAATGGCACGTTTATAACAACCGTTCATAAACTGTCTTTCCAGGACATTGGATCAAATTTAAGGCCTTTTTCAAGATACAAGTTTACTTACCTTTCAGGCATGTTATCAAGTTTTCACATCCCTTTCAAGATTATAAATAAAACCTCTTTGGGGAATTTTACCCTATTTCAAGACACAAGTTTGAGACATTTAATTGAAGCATAAGGCCCTGCAATCTAGTGGTAATGTCAAGACATCATTATTCAAACCTGCTAGTTACAACATACAATAAGCAGCATTAACTTGTATTATAGCCCTTGTTATATTACATATCCAACACCATATTACCCATCTTGGCATCACAATATATATCAATATTACCCATCTAGGCATTACAATATAAAAAAATACTACCTATCTAGGCATTACAATATAACACAATACTACCTATCTAGGCATTACAATATAAGAAAATATTACCCATTTGGGCATGATATTATCTTGTATGGCCAATGTAGACACTGCAATATAAGACTGTCTTACCCTTCTAGGCAGTATGATAAAGGAAATAGTCCACCTACCACTTCTCCCTTGTCTCCCTCAGGACCACGCTCTCCCCGTGGGCCAGGATCTCCTTGGAAACCAATTCTTCCATCGTCTCCCTTAGCACCAGGGCCTCCTGGTGGGCCCTACAACAAGATTCATTCAACATTAACCTATAATGAATGGACAAATATTATTGACATGAAAGAAATCTATTTTTGTATCCAAAGCAATGAGGTGAAGCGAAATGGGGTTAATGCTGCATTCAAGATGATTGCACTTATACAGTGATGTGCATGTATGTGTGTGTGACCTCTTGTCCTAGTCTGGACTCATCTCAGGATTATACTGAAGTACCATGTCAGGGTTTAACACTGATACCTCAGTCAGACACTGTATACCATCTCCAAGGCGACTGGAGTTCAAACCTCTGACCTTCCACTATCCCGGCGAACACTCTATCCACTAGACCACATAGGCAGTGCTGACATGATACAAAAGCAAAGATTCACATTCACAAACTCACAGGATTTCCATCGATTCCACCAACACCAGGTGTTCCAGGGTCGCCCTGATCTCCTTTCGGTCCCATGGATCCCTCGGGGCCAGGGATGCCTGTCACTCCGGGGGTGCCCTGGAACAAACAAATACATCATCATCATCATCATCATGGAGAATTCATCATGGAATGCAGACAAAACAGTGTTATTTCCTGCCATAGAAACACAAAAACATTTCTAAAAATCCTGTTTATCAGGAAGCATCATTTCAACATTTTTCTCCCATGCAAGTTTCACAAAGAAATATTTAATGATTTATGCGCTGCCTGGTTCATATCTCCCAATGTGGAACAGTTAGACATTACCAGGGTATGTCTTTAAGGTGCCATACACTTCACCACTGAAACACTTACTGGTGTTCCGGGAACGCCGGGGATTCCCATGGGTCCTGGAGCTCCTGGTGGTCCCTGAAATAGATGAAATACATCAGATGAAGTCAAGGTTCATTGGCAGGGGTAAATAAAACCTCAAACATACCACAGAGGAATGCTGCAGTACATGAACGCAGTGATGAACTGATCCACTTACCACAGGTCCATCATCACAAAACCCTTCATGAGTACTGGCATTACCCACTGGCCTACCCCACTACCCTGGTTTAACTGATCCACTTACCACAGGTCCATCATCACAAAACCCTTCATGAGTACTGGCATTACCCACTGGCCTACCCCATCCACTATCCTGGTTTAACTGATCCACTTACCACAGGTCCATCATCACAAAACTCTCCATGAGTACTGACATTACCCACTGGCCTACCCCACCCACTATCCTGGTTGAACTGATCCACTGACCACAGATCCATCATCACAAAACTCTCCTTTCAGTTCCAACATTACCCACTGGCCTACCCCACTACCCTGGTTTAACTGATCCACTTACCATAGAGCCACGATCGCCAGCCTCTCCCTTGGGTCCTGGGGGACCGGGCATGCCCTGGATACCTGGGAGACCTGTAGGTCCCAACAAACCCCTGGGGCCCTCGGAACCCTGGAGAAACAACCGCAGAGTGAGTAGACATAACATGCCTTACAGAGAAACTTTACTAACACAGAGAAATGACTACTAACAAATTCGTACACTACATGAAATCAATACACATCAATGTTGTATTATAATCCATACGTGAACATGATGATAAGGAACAAATTTCATTACCTCAAACATGAGGGTTTATTATTGATGTACGTGAAGAGTTAGAGAGAGTGATTGAATGACTCAGTTTTAAGCAATATTCCAGAAGTATCACATTTGGTGACACTCTAAATGGATTGCACATTGTATTCTTGTGGGAAATCAAACCCACATCTTCTATGTTGTAAGGGACCGTTCACAAGTTATGGCTAGGGGGGATGATGATGGTTTTTATGGAGAAGCATGTACAATGTGAATGACCTCCCCTAAAATTTATGTACAAAATAAGTAAACACCCCCACACACACACATGTCATGTACAAAATCAATAAGCATAATTTTAAACATATTTTTATGTACAAAAATTGCTGACCCCCTCCCCCAGCCTTTGTATGAGTGTACAAAATTGCTGACCCCCACCCCAGCTCCCAAGAACAAAATGGGTGACCCCCCACCCTTTCAAATCATCATCACCCCCCTAGCCATAAATTATGAATGGTCCCTAAGCAAACCACAGTATTGAGCCACTGGGCACACAGCCAACAATATCATAGCTGAGATCACTTTGAGCATCTAGGAATCAGTTGCAATGATCTCACAACTAACTCTGGGTTCATAGTCACATTTTAATTTATCTAAGACTAATGAATGGCAAATAGTAGCAATTTTTACCCATCCCAGATGATCCCCAACCTTCAGCACCCACCTTTTTGCCTCGCACGCCCTGTATGCCTCGCAGTCCATGTTCTCCGGAAGGGCCCTGAAACACACATCACATCACATGACACATCACATGACACATCACATGGTACATCCTTATCAATTAGCATTTGTGTCTTCTTGAAGTAAACTTTTAACTGGAGACAAAGATCAATATATATAATAAAACCGTTTTGGTATCGTTTTCGGCGATATCTCACACAAAAAAAGTTTCATATGCCTCTAAGTTCAAAAGGAAAAAAAAATTTAAAACCTTTCTTTTGACCTGGGTGCAACAACTAAATGAAATCAAGTTATTGAATAATTTATTGAGCCAAATGTTTGAGAATATGGAACTGTTGACTAGTGTATATTACTTACTGGTGGACCCACTGCACCCTGTGGTCCCTGAGGTCCTTGTGGTCCAGGTGGCCCCTGAAACACAGTAGGGAGTACAGACAACACAGTAGGGAGTAGGGACAAATAGTAGTAGAAAACAGAAATACAGCTGGGAATACAGACAACATTGCATGAAATACAGACAACACAATAGGGAATATGGACAACACAGCAGGGAATACAGACAACATTGCATGGAATACAGACAACACAATATGGAATATGGACAACACAGCAGGGAATACAGACAACATTGCATGGAATACAGACAACGCAGTAATAATATGGACAACATAGTAGGGAATACAGACAACATTGCATGGAATACAGACAACACAGTAGAGAATATGGACAACACAATACAGACAACATTGCATGGAATACAGACAAGACAGTAGAGAATATGGACAACACAATACAGACAACATTGCATGGAATACAGACAACATTGTAGGAATACTGACAACACAGTACAGAATATGGACAACACAATACAGACAACATTGCATGGAATACAGACAACATATGGACAACATAGTAGGGAATACAGACAACATTGCAAGGAATACTGACAACACAGTAGAGAATATGGACAACACAATACAGACAACATTGCATGGAATACAGACAAACAGAAGGGAATACAGACAACACAGTAGGGAATATGGACAACACAGTAGGGAATACAGACAACAGCAGGGAATACAGACTCGAACACAGTAGAGAATACAGACAACACAATACAGACAACATTGCCAACATTGCAAGGAATACTGACAACACAGTAGAGAATACAGACAACAGAGCAGGGTATACAGACAACCTTGCATGGAAATCAGACAACACAGAAGGGGATATGGACAGGGAATATACACAACATAGCATGGAATACTGACAACATTGCATGGAATGCAGAAAATACAGCTGGGAATACAGACAACACATCAGGAATATTGATAAGTGTAGTGTTAAGCAACAAACAAACAAGAGCTCCAACCAAGATGGAGAAAACTGATCAAAGCAAACTAAAGATAATTGCTTACAAATGGACCATTGTCTCCCTTGAATCCTCTCTCTCCTGGTGGGCCAGGATCTCCCTGGAAACAAGAATAAGTAAATGATGTATCATGTTTACGACATCCATTATATCACATTCTCTGGTCAGGTTTCGGATAGATCTGTTAGTTATAGACCACATCTTCAAATGCAGAATATGTTCACCAAGTCATATTATCAAATATATAATGATCGAAAAATCCTCATCATAGTTGTTCACAAAAGATAGCTGGTTCAAGTAACATGATGCTGAGCTAAGGGTTCTTAGTGGTACTTAGCACTATTGATGCTATCACAAGCAAAAATTATATTTAAATATTGCATGCATATAAGAAATAGCATAACCTTAAAGTCATTTTTGACATATTTGTCAGATTTAAGATAAAATACAAAAAGCCTATCTACCAACATACCAAATTTTGAAATATTTAAAACATAATTTGATAGGTGTGACAAAAGATTTAGGCTTCGTTCAGAGGGTTTATCTGTGCAGCTTCTGTCTGATGTGAAGCAATATAACAGTAGGATCTTGTCAAGTGCAAGAAAGCTTAAAAATTATGTAAATTCAAATATTTCAACAAAAACACCTTTGAGTGTGACCTACCTTATCTCCCTCCAAGCCTGGAGCACCCACTGGTCCAGATGGTCCTCTGTAGCCCTGGAACACGTATACAGTATCACACTATGCCCCGAAACATGTATAAATGTCACATCCAAGACTAGTTCTATCTTACAAATAATTACTGTAAGATATATATAGCACACCATTTCTGTAACAAATGTGAGATTCTGTTATAAGCATTATACAATGATAATGCACACCAAGGCATTATTACTGTGTAATCGTTTTGCCACAACAAAATCTAAGAATTACTTTCACTTAATATTATTCTAATTCACACACACTATTCCATTTGTTATTGCTAGCATTATTCAAAACATCATGTTTTCTGTGTGTTACTGTCATATAATCGGAGAAGATTTCATGTGACAGGTAAATCCACATTATATGAAGCAAGTTCTTAAACCAATCAACAGGTAATAAAATATAAAACTACTTTCAGCTTCTTAAATTGTCAAGACTTGTGATTTAATTTTGAGATAATCATAACTATAGTAGCATCATAATACAATGTTGCAATACATCTCATATGATGACTATTTATTCCTGCAACCTAGCTGACAGATCTTATCATAATAACCAATACCATAATGGTGTCATGTTATGAATATTTATTCCCTACAACCTAGTTATACATCTTTTCAATGTAAATGACATCCGAATAGTTAATATCATAATGGTGTCTGATTATGAACATATATTCCATCTTTTCAATGCATCATAAATGCATCATAAATAACAACAATAATGTACAAGGTAATACAAAAATAGAGTTAAAAAGTGTTGACTACCAGAGAGACCCAGTGATCTAATCAACGCACTATGACCACATACGTACCCTAGGCCCCTGTGGTCCCTGTATTCCAGACTGGCCAGGGATGCCCTCGGGTCCCTGAGAACAAACATCACATATAAGACATTGAAATGAGTGCACTGGATATGTTCAGCACCCTTCGAATAGTATTTCAGTTATATCACAGCATACCCAGCCATAACTGGACACATATTAAAAATGCATCAACTTGAATGCAATGAAAACATATTTTTTAATTGAAACTGTTCATACTTATATTTGTTTTATACATCCAAGAATTAATTGTTAACTCACCATATCTCCCTTCAGCCCTCTCTTGCCAAGTGGACCAGGTAGGCCAATGCGTCCCTGGAAGAAAGCACAAAATAATTATGATGACCGTCAACTGCATCAGCAAACAAATACATAATTGTCATGACATGAGCATGGAAACAATTCAGTATATAAATGGCAGTTTCAGTTTGTCTTCCTTTCCATGTGATCAATTTTAATAAATACAAACGATTCATAAAGTTTCTGAGATTCCATAGTTCTAGTGAACTTGTCTAATAATCTTTTGTTAGTGTAAATGAATCTTTTAAACAAAGAAGGTTTCTATGTAACCAGTCTTTTGCTAGTTTAAAGAAATCTTTTAAACAATCTTTTGTTAGTATAAATAAATCTTGTAAATAAAGGTTTATATGAAACCAAAATTTTGTTAGTTTAAAAATTCTTGCAAACAAAGAAGATTTCTATGGAACCAATCTTTTGTTAGTTTAAAAAGATCTTTTACACAAAGAATGTCGTCTATGAAAGAATGCTGGTGTACTTCTCACCCTGATGCCGGCAGTTCCTGCTGGGCCTGGCTCTCCCTGGGAACCTTTCTCGCCCTGTAACATCAATACACGGTCACCATAACCTGCACCACAGACAACACTGTATAGCTTTCATTAGTTGTCTGAGAAACTTTTTTATAGATTTCTGTAATGGGGAAATCAGTCCAGTTTGTTGATTCTGCTTCCAGAAGTCTGAGGAAGAACCACTAGTCAGAGGTGTACATAAAGTAAATGGTCTCGGCTACCAGTTGTTGGACTTTTTTTGTAAAAGCATCAGTGGCTGAGTGGGTTAGATCGCTTTGTGCGCTGATGATTGGGTGTTACATCTGACAACTTTCAAACGTTTACAACGTTTGCTGCAGTAAACATGAGCAGCAGGGTATTCCTAGTGAGGGACACCTTCATTACACTCCCGAAAACATCGATCTCATCAGTGTGGAAGTGTCTGTAACAGGTACATTGAAATGTTCCCTCAAACCCCAAGTGTAGGAAGGCACATTTCTATGTTGGTGTACGTCTTGTCGAATGCTGTCAAGGTGAGTTTTGAAAAGGTTTACAAGTGACTTAGTATCTCTCAGATGAATTTACATTTGAAACATACAACTTTATGGACAACAACTTATTGTTTATTGCATTACACCACGATTCGATGTAGATACATCGTTATCAAGCTAACAGTCATAATGATGTAAGAATCTACATCAAAATTTCGCTTAATGCAATAAACAAGAAGTTGTCATCCAAACAATTAGAATTGACATTTGTTTGGTTAAACAATTGGTTAGAGTATGCAGACTGAATGATAATCTACCCTACCTCCCACTTAATATCTTACTATACCAATTACATGTTAGATATAGGAAGTATATAATCATTGACCCACAGAAAATAACCAAACTTTAGCTGGGGTATGTATTTGTGTACTGGGAGTCACAGCACTCATCATTTGTAAACAGTCGGTGGCAAGTTCAACTCAGTGCATGGTCGTGGCTGTGTATCATCTGTGGGAGCAGTGACCAGTAGCAGAGACAGTGCAGGTAGAGTACTCACAGGAGGTCCTTGAGGTCCAACCGGGCCGCCAATACCTGGAATACCACTCTCACCCTGCAAGTGTAAGATATTTAGGAACATAATATATACACTCACTACATGGAAACAAACTAGTCAATTTGTTCATGAGAAAACAGTATATACTCACTTCACTGAAACATTAATAGATAGTAGCTTGTAGGAATATATTACAAACAGATATCCCAATATACTAGTTTGTATGAAAATAGTATATACTCTCACTTTATCAAAACATTAATAGATATTATAGCTAAAACACATGGAATTATCATGAAACGGGCCCTCCTAATATCAGAAATTTGCAGGCCGCTGCAAATGATATTGGACCGCTCAACCTTAACGCCGGGCCACTATCAGTTCTGTTGTCAAGTGACGTCATAGTGGGTACGTCGGTTCATTCGACATTGGCTTTGGACTGGCAGATATTCTGGGTCAAACAAGTCAAAGCAACCCAAATTCCCGCTTTAAATAGTGGTAACATTGGGTTTCTTGCTGGTGCTAACCTTAACAATTGCACTATTAATGTTGTTGTTGGACCAAGACCGATCACTGACATAGTTTGAAATGTTGCAGGCTATGGTCTTGTCAAAGGCCAAGGTCGAATATCGTCACTTTCTGTTGTGCTGTCACTTGAATTTTTCGATGACGTAATTGCATTCCGTCAGTGAACCCCGTCAGAGGTTGATTTTGAGTAAACTCACAGTCAAATTCCTTCATTGTTTCCTTTTTCTTTTCAACACAAATTCGATGTATTTTAGCAATAATAACGGTAATGCTATTTTTGAGGGCATTATCATTTGCAGAAGCCCTCAATCTTCTTCAATTGCCCTCCTTCATCGAGCAGTTAATGGAAGACCGCAGGCCCTCAAAAATAGCATAACCCTTATATTAGCTTGTAGAAATATATTACAAAGAAATATCCGACTATACTAGTTTGTATGAATATAGTATATACTCTCACTTGATTGAAACATTAATAGATATGAGCTATTTATACAGTACAATCAGAACTTCAGTTTCAACATACCGGTACTAGTCATACATTCTGGGAGCCAGAGAGTATATACTTACAGCAGGTCCTGGGAATCCTCTATCTCCGGGGAAACCTCCATGTCCTGGGGGTCCGGGGATTCCAGACTCACCACGTGGTCCAGGAGGACCCTGAAGCATTCACACACACAGGTCAACAACTGACTCTTCCTGATTCATATTCAGGATTAAAACAGCATCAAAGTGAAAGGACATTCAGTTATTAATCACTACTTCCTACTAATAATATTATACATGGGTGGGCAATATACTCATCAGTGGGGTGAGTTGCCTACCTCTGCTCCAGGTTTTCCTCCAGGGCCGGGGAGTCCAGTATCACCAGGGGGACCCTGAAACATGTGGGTAGAGTGAGTGAGTGAGCATAGTATAGTATTATTACACTTTTAGCAATATTCCAGCAATATCACAGCAGGGGACACCAGAAATGGGCTTCACACATTGTACCCAAACATATACATATCAAAAGAGTCCATGTAAAAAGAAGATTTGAAATCATAAAAAAATTAGTTGCTCATAAGTGCAATATCTAGAAAATACACTAAGTTTGAGAAATAAATAATTATTTAATGATCAACTGATTTGAACATTTTGATCATTGAAAATGGTTTCCTGTGTGATTCTCATCCCTAACAATAGAAGTGTGCAATGCTGGGTCTTGGTAAATATATTAAGACTGGTCATTTTTAATGGTCCTGGAAACATACATTTGAGGTTCTTCTTCACCATTCTTAAGTATGTAATGAAAAAAAGTGAGTGAGTTATTTTTTAACGTCACATCGGCAATATTGCAGCCATATCGTGACGATAATGAAAAATAAAGTAGCAAAAATAACAAATGATATTTTACTTTATTCTGCTGCTAAAACTCACCTGGGCCCCGTTTCACAAAGCTCTCGTAAGTCTAAGATCTCGTAACTTTTCTCATAGCATTTATACCTCCCATACTTTAACTTACAGTCGTTGCGCTACGATTGCTTTGTGAAATGGGGCCCTGGGAGGTAACATGGAAACAGAAACAGGCCTACACAATGTACAGGTAGCTTATCTTAGCATTCCATTAGGTTCAGTAGAATGAAAACCAAACTGAATTAAAAATATGTCACAGGTTTCATGATCAATACATCAAGGTGACAGATCATGAATCTAGTGAACCCAGAGATGCCAACCCCAAAGTGTTGCAAATAGTCGTTTCAAGGATCAAAATTAGTAGTTTGACCAATAAAATTAGTAGTCAACTTAATACTTAAAATCATGATGGATTCTGAGAAAGATAATATGACACTAATCAAGAGTGAAGGTTGAATTTCACATACCTCCAACAGCAGACTTCCAGATTATCAGCATTACATTTCTTCTTGTCATCTCTTTTTGGCGAAAATGTATTTAATTGACGAAAATATATGTTTTTGTGTATATATCCAAATTTTAATGAATTTTCTTCAAACTTCATAGAATTTCTAGTGCAATCATATTGGCGATCTGATCCTTCAGAAATATACTCACAGGGTTACCAGGGGATCCTCGTTCACCCTCAGTACCAGGTTCACCGGGGGCTCCCTGAAAATGGAGAACAAGAGTGAGTGAATGAGTGAGTGAGTGAGTTTAGTTTTGCGCCACTTTTAGCAATACTCCAGCAATATCACGGCCGGCGACACCAGAAATGGGCTCTACACATTGTACCCATGTGGGTAATCGATTCCGGGTCTTCGGCGCGACGAGCAAACGCTGTAACCACTAGGCTACCCCACCACCCCAGAATAAGATGATTACTGGAAATGTTGCAGATTCCACACCACAGTGCTGCTGCTATTGCTATAAAATACATCTTGTCATCAGATATAACAGACACTAATGCATGCAAGTACACATAAATACAAACAAACACTGTATTTGTAACAAACAAATAGGATAACATGTAAATAACAAGGAACTAGATTATGACATTAGAACCTCCTTAGAAAGAGCTCCAAATCTGCTTAAAAGATTGTTACTGATATTTAAAACAGTAAAACAAATCTTAAACATGCATTCACTGTATACAAAGAACAGCAGTCTTATAAGAGTGATATGTAGCATCCTCAGAATTACAGAGAACTGATAATCAAGATCAAATGGCTTTAATTTGATAAAGCTTCATCTTTAAATTATCATGAATTATTAAGTTCCTTGCAGACTTTGTCAAGTGTCTGATTATCAGATAATATGTACAAAGAGCTGATCAAGAATATGAACATTTTAACAACCTGAGGGCAATATGGGTTTTACTCACCGGAGGTCCCATGACACCGATTGGTCCAGGTTGGCCGGGGGATCCTGGCAGACCCTGAAGACACACAATATGGCATTAGAGTGGATGTTGAGAGGAAAAGTTCCATGGATAGGACAGTTGTTAATTATTCAGTTTGGTCCAGGCAAACCAGTGACTAAAACATAAACTAGAATCTAGAATCATGGCACACACGTGTGCCGAGTTTGAGCCCTGTGAAGACCAGCAGATGCTGGGCACTTATCCTTACCCAGGTCCACATGGGAAGACAAGCATTTGCAATGACAGGCATAGGTTGAAGATTTAATAAATATATCACACATTGATCAACTCTGGGAAGAAGATTGTAAGCCAGTCAAGGAAGCTCTTTACTCACAGGTTCACCACGGTCACCATTAAACCCGGGCATACCATCCTTTCCTGGGAGACCCTGAGAAAAAACACATGGGATAAATTATTCATACAAAACTAACTAAATACAAGGTTTAAATATATAGAAATATTCCACCATGACTACCAGGATCATTCAGTTAGATAAATCAAATCTATATAACACAAAATAATTACACTTATGTAATGAAGACAAAATAAAGGATTATATCATGTGCTTCTTACGCTTGATCCTGGAGGTCCAATGAGTCCAGAGGGTCCAGGTGATCCCTGAATTCCCTGCTCGCCCTGGAACCCTGGGGGCCCAGGTGCTCCTGTATCTCCCTTGGGGCCAATAGGGCCGGGGATGCCTTGCTTTCCACGCTCTCCTTGCTGACCCTGTCAAATATAGAGTCACAGAAATCAGTTTACATCACATCGGAAACATTATCTGGTCATACGGAGAAACCTCATTAATCTGAATGGTAGCTTTCCGTAGGAAATTAGCTGGTTTAGCAGATTACCAGAATAACCAATCATGATTACAGAGTTCAGGAAAATCCCAGTAGTCCTGAAGACTTGCTTGTAACAGTAGTTTAATGCCGACCTCAGCAATATTCCAGGGTCCCAACCTTCAAACAACTCAATAATTTATCATAGACTTACAGATGTAGTAGCACTACTGAATGCTTGTGGATCAGGAAAATGCTGTATTTGTGAATTGTCAATTCCGTACCAGACAGTCAAGTGATACACATTATGCACAGTGAACCTTGCAACTGGGATGTCAGCAAGTCTCACCAGCCAATCCTGGATCTACTCTGACATGGTGCCACTTTACCCATGCAGCTCTGACATTGATCTTTTAGGATAATACTGGGCTTTTCCAAATTTCACTTACTTATTGGAACCAGATGAGACCCAAGGGACCAGTGATTTAGGATATTTATCCTCAATGGATGACAAATAAGGGACCCCAATAACATGACAAATGGCCAATAACAATCAACAATCAGTTGGTAAGATCAACCCTCGTCTCCCATATTGACATTGATAGAAAAATATTCTTCAAGTCCCAGTCAAATACACAATATATTTTCAGTAATTCAGTTTGATCATGACAGATTCCCTGAGCTTCTTTGCAGTACATATCAGAAAAACAGTTTAATTTGAGAGTCATAGTTGGTTGAAAACTCGTGAGATAGAATCTGTCATGGCTGCTAACCTACCCTTGGTCCATGTTCGCCTCTCTCGCCTGGGGGTCCATGCACACCCTGAAATGCAACATATACTTGATGAAATCATTCACAAATTTTAATAATTATTGGGTATAGGCACTCTTGAGGATACATGTATATTGGAACACTGATGAAGTATGCATAAATGACATCTCACTCGAGTGAAATAACACTTCATGACAGAACATCTTTCTGGCTTCCTCTATAACTTCGTGGGTTTCAGTGTGTGATCATGACAGGCACCAAGAAAATATGTAATGAAGAGATCATTAGTATTTTTTTCACTAAACACTTTCTTGTGAATTAAATAACTTTGGCTGGAATTTTTGTTTTAAAACCATGCATACATACACTAAATGTACAAGACAGGTGCCTCAGTAATTATAAATTCCATACTAAGCAACTCATATCAGCTTTTGTCAGGGTCAAAAGGTTATATGTTACAAATTCAAAGTAGCTAGCACAGTAACTCAAATAGGGTGAGTGAGTGAGCATGGTTTTACGCCGCTTTTCGCAATATTCCAGCAATATCACGGCGAGGGACACCAGAAATGGGCTTCACACATTGTACCCATGTGGGGAATTGAACCCACGTCTTCGCGTGATGAGCAAACGCTTTAACCACCAGGCTACCCCATCGCAAAACTCAAATAGGATACATATGGGACAATAGTGCAGGTTAAGATGCTAATGAAATCAGATAAGTCACAGTAACAAATTAAATGAGCAGCTCAATCAGATTTCATGTTATGAGGTATTCCAGTACATATGAAACTATGGGCGACAACTGACCAACTTCCCTCGAGCTCCTCTTCTTCCACGACGGCCATTCCTGCCACGTTCACCCTAAACACAAATATTGAAAAGAACATGTACATCAATTGATATAACAATTTCTTTAATTTTTGAATGATGATACACAGAAAAATGATGAATTGTTTAACACTTCAAATGCTGCATAAATTTGGATTTTGAAGAGCATATAATCAGTACCAGTAATCAAATAATGGTTTAACATCTATTTATCAGTTACAGTTAAACGCTGCAATATTACAAGATGCATCCAATCAACATTGGGTGTTGTTAATCAATAAGAAATAAATTCAGTATTACTATACAGATATGGAGTATATCACACACCTTCTCTCCTGGGGGTCCTGGGTAGCCAGGGAAACCGGGAATTCCAATCCTTCCCTGCAACATTATATCACTGAAGTATAATGCTAATCAAAATTAAGAAAATGGAATTAAAGAATTCATTTGTTTTTAAATTTGACACAATTATGATATAAAACTTTTGCCAGATATATCATAAAATGCCATAAAATCAATATCTTACCTTTTCTCCGGGCATTCCAACAGGGCCAACCTCACCAGGTGGACCAGAATCTCCCTGAAAAAAAACAAACCACCGATTTAAAAATAAAAAAATATACTTATGACATGGTAGTATTTCTTATATTATACTTTAATAGAAAATATTTATTGGTATATGGGTATATATCTGTACACATAAATGTTATATTTACCTTCATGCCATCAACACCCTCGATACCAATAGGTCCACGGATACCGACATTGCCTCTGTCGCCCTTGTTGCCCATGTCGCCTTTCATTCCATCCAGACCAGGAGTTCCCTGAACAGGAAGTACACATTTACTCATCAACAAGATTGTCATATTGCACATACTGCCATGTAAGTGGGAAAGGAGAAATTGCTATTATATGAGGGTTTATGGATAAGTTCCAAGCCTCACATAGAAGGAATTTCACAACAGAAAAATTGTTTGCTGTAAAAAGACCATGATGTTTTTGTTTGCTTGTGTGCTTGTAGTTTAACACCACACTCAGCAATATTCCAGCTATATAACAGCAGTCTGTAAATACTTTAGTCCGGACCAGACAATCCAGTGATCAACAGCATGAGCATCGATCTACACAATTGTGATATGATCACATGTGTCAACCAAGTCAGCGAGCCTGACCACCTGATCCTGTTAGTTACCTCTTACAAGCATGGGTTGCTGAAGACCAAGTCTATCCCGGATCTTCACAGGTGGCAATGATATCATAAGAGCATGTCCAAACACTTGAGTCAATTGAACAAACTTTTCCAGTCAATAAAATAGGCAGGGGACTGTTATCAGGGGACATCTTGGGAAGCTCGCAGTGATCAGGTATTAGTGGACTGGTGTCAGCTTTCTGTATGAGTCTCTGAGGCAATCAGTCCTTCTACAACTATAGGCTCTCATGGTACAATTCTGTCCATATGTGATGCATATTGAACACTGATGATACCAGCTCACAATGTACGAACACATCTGACTGGTCATTACATAAACACTGCGTGTGTCCTACCTTGGGTCCAGTGTCGCCAATAGGTCCTCGGGGACCAGAGTCTCCCTTTACTCCTCGGGGTCCAGGATAGCCAATGACACCCATTGGTCCTCGTGAACCCTGAAACAACATTGCTCTAGATGATCACGAAGGATTTATCTTTCAGGTCCCCCTTCGGTGAAGAAGAAAACGAGGAAATATAAGAGGAAGAATAAAAGGAGGAATAATAATAGAATGCAGAAGAATAAGAGGATGAAGATGAATAAGAAGAAAAAAAAGAAGAATAGGAAACAGAGGAGGAGGAGGAGGGGAGGAAGAAGAGGATATATAGCACCAGTTCCGGATATGCTGCTCACAGGCACTTTACACTATTAATATCTCAGTCAATAAATCAGTGTGCACTTGATTTATATTTTAGCTTTTTGGGAGTATAAACCACAAGCTGCCTGTGAAGAATTAGTGGTTTAGTCACTTTACCTTCTCATCCTACATTTCCAAACAATACAGTGTGCGAAATAGTTTCCAAATTTTGAAAGACAGTCGGACTAGCTTTGCCTGAAAGTTACTAGCCCACAAAATAATTCACAAGTCCGAAATTTGAATGTAGACACAGGTTTCATCATTAAGTGGTTAGTATGATGAACATTTTTATCAGGCCATAATCTTGCATGATTTAAAAGTGTATTATAACTTAACATGTCAGAGAGAGTGATATATTTACAAAATGACCCCATTGAAAATTCACTAGCCAGTCACTGTGGAGATTTATTGGCCCGACTGAACTTTTACTGGCCACAGGCTAGCGGGCCAGTGGTTATTTCGCACACTGGTACCATATGGTATTTTAATGGCTACTTCTTCCAGTTTCCATCTTATATTGTCAAGATTAGCATCAAGTAGTATCTAAGGTACTTAGACTGATACTTACAGCATCTCCCTTAGGTCCTGATTCGCCATTATCACCGTTCATGCCCTAAAAGTAACAACAGACAACTTGTTGACAATAGGGCTGGTTATCGTTATACATCATAGAGATCGATAATCGTTAACTAAACATAGATTGATTATACACAAATATTGGAGACGTAACTTTGAGGAAAAATGACGCGACTGTACACTCTTGTAACAACTAACACCAAGTCAATATGTACTTTAAAGCAGTTCTTCGAATGAACTTCAATTTTGATGCAACAAAAAGATGATCGTTTTAAAAGAAACTGCTTTTAAATGTCTCATATACCTAATATTTAAAGACAATTACATATTATGACCATACTCAATAAGCAAATGAATCTGGCAAAGTCAGAATATATAACATCATTACCGGTGGTCCCATGGCGCCAGACAGACCAGGGAGTCCAGGCTTTCCAGTGGCGCCCATGATGCCTGAAGGACCCTGTTGTCCAGGTTGACCTGGTGGACCCTGAAGGAGAAAGAGAAGCAGCTGACAACATGTATATAGTTCATTCTTTGTTTGGGGTAAAGAAAAGTGGTACTTGCAGATAGTTATCCAACCATCTAAGGATATATGTATACTGATCATTCTTTGACAGAGGAAACAGAGAAAGCTGTATTGTGTTCAGCTGTTAGTACAATAGATATACACTACACTATCATCTAACCCCTCACAGGAAGAACACTACACAAACATCCGCTACAAGATGCACTCACAGTTGGTCCTGATGATCCGGAGTTGCCAGGGGCTCCTGGGGCTCCAAAAGGTCCCTGAAACACAGATATATTACAATATATTACACAGCAAGTACAAATACAGCAAACTCTGGCACAGAAACACAAATCATGTTTGGAGTAAATTCACACTGTAGCAGGTGACATCCAATATGTGATAATAGGTTGTTTCAACATACAGAAGCACTATTATACATAGGGATGGACAATATTAAATCCAGACAAACCCTGATTGTCTGATGAAGCAACATGTCCTCCTCTTGCAAAACTGAGACAGCACCAGAATTATTGCTATCAGCACCTCTACCATCCCACAAAGGATTTTCTGGCAGTATTGATCATGTTAAGTGAGAGAGTTAGGAGTGAATGAGTATGGTTCTTTGCCAATTTTTGGAATATTCCAGAAAAATTATCATTGTGGGAACACCAAAAATGGGCTTCACACATTGTACCCATTTGGGGAATCGAAGCTGGGTCTTCAGCGTGCTGCTTTAACCATTAGGTTACCCCACCGCCCCGAGAGAGTTAGAAGGTAAACATATTGTGCTTCTGAAGTAGAATTTGGTTACCTGTAGATATCACTGTGCCAAATTGAATGTTGAACCAAAACTAGTGTTGGGAATTGGTTAAAATCTTATAATTGATGATTGGTCCATTAAAACCGATCAATCATCGAAAATAATTGGTTAGCATCATTTATCAAATGTTCCTGATGTCTTTGTTAATGCACACACACAAAATAAAGAAAAAACATGTAGTAATTTGGGGTTTTCCAAATTGCACAAAATCCATTTGCATATTTCGCACATTTAAAGGAAGATTAGTACGTTAGGAACACAGATTTCCTGGATTTTTTTAGATAAATTCAATCATGACTTGGAATGAGCTTGAAGTGCCTATGAAATGTTAATTTAATGACACAGACAAAACCAACCTTGTGAAAAATGTTGTTGATGCAAACAAGTGTTCCAAGATTGATTGCGTTCGATTATGAGAAAACATGTTCGACATTTCGTTTAGTCACTGCGACCAATCTTCGATTATTTCAATTAATCGGAGCACCACTAACCAAAACAGGCAGTATTTGGCTTTAAATTTTAAACTTACTGTTGCTAAGTAACAAGTGAGCGAGTTCTACATTAAAGATTGTTTATGGCTATTTTACCAGAGTAAAAGTAGCGTGAACTCTTTTGTGTTGGCAAATGTATTCATTAAGGATGCTGTGTTTAAGATTGTTTCAGTTTTTTAGATGGATTGTCTATCTGAATTCAGGAAAACCAGTGTAAGCCGATTATCAAAGTATGACACTGTATATACTCAAACATTTTTGCTTAATATGTTTTTATACTTTACAAGCTCACACATAATTCAGACACTAGTGGTGAGAAGCATACGTACATCATAAATAACATTCAGACTGCACCCTACAAAAAGTGAAATAAATTACTATGATGTCACATCACGCATTGTGATGTCTTGATCTGATATAGAAGGATGCCAATTTCAAGAATACTGCTGTCCCTAAAACGTCAGATATGATCCCTCGTTTGTGTCTTTCATGTGGCATGTTGTTAGGGATGGGCAGTTCAGTGAGACAAATTGACACCAGAAGCTGATAAAGTGCATGTTTTAAATCAATTCAAACTATTTGTTCACTCTTCCAGTTGTAGTAGGTTCCTTTCATCTAATAATTTATTTGTTGCCTCATTTGCACAACACTTCAATTATGTTCCTCAGACAGAGTATTTTATTGAAAGTATCAGAAGTGTAATGTGGTCTAAAAGAAAAGTGTGCTTTTTTATATAATTATTGAATTGAAAATCAAAGCCCTGCTATCAATTTTCAACGTATCAATAATCGATGAATAACATAAGTTGTATCATTGTGATGCGGGGTATACAGGGTTTTATGTCTCCCGTGTTAGGTTTTATCCACCTAACGATAAAACCTAACAAGGGACGAATACAAACTTGTATATTCCGAATCATAATGTAGAATTTATCTTACCAAATGTTTAAATCTCTTATTATATAAATATAACATCAAAACAAACTGAATTTCAATCATATATTTTACTGACTAGTCGATCCAAACCGTAGATGCATGCTTTTACAACGGGGCGGGGTATATATGTTTTATTTTCCCTCGCAAAGATTCATACCCCGCTTGGGTGGTGCTGTACACCAGGCATACATGGTATTTGTTCAAGATCAGGTGAACCAATCAGAGTTGGACATTCTTACATGAAGGATGATAACTTACCCTGTCTCCCTTGAATCCCATTGAGCCCTCTGATCCTGGCATACCCTTGAACAAAGGATACAGACATATAAACCACACAGAAGGTTAATGTTGGAAGCAAGAGGTAATTCATGGCAGCATTATCAATATAATCTTACAGACCATGAAATACACCTCTATCAGAACAACTGTAACTTTGAACCAACACGAACATGCACATTCATTCTCTTGTAATGCCCTGACTCACATGAAACATACAGTAACGAGCAGACAAAATGCGACTTTTCACAGACGTAGTTTCAAAATTTATTTACTGATAAATTCAGTTATATTTTTTCATACATCCACTCTGGATACTGAAGTTTACATTTATGCAAGTCAATAGTCTCATGCTGTCAATCAAATTGTCTATGTAGTCCTGGGGTAGGCCTACCCATATTTGACTGATGTGATTAGACTACTCAACGACACTCTTCAGTTCCAACTTTTCTAATTTGTCCTTCATAATCTGCCACACATTTTCAATTGGGTTTAGGTCTGGTGATGCCGCTGGAAATTTCTGTAAGGTCACGTGACTCGTTTCAAACCAGTTACAGGTGTGTCTTGACTTGTGTACAGGTGCATTGTCCTGTAAAAGTTTGAAAGATATTCCACTCTGTCCTATATGGGATTCCACATTGCCTTCTTGTATAAGTTAGCAGTACTTGCGTGAATCCATCCTTCCTGTAATAGTTAGCAGCAGCGTTACCCCGAGTTTGCCTATACCACCCCAAACCATGACACTGGGTGAGAACTTCGGAACCATTTTGCAGCAACGTCCACCTCTTGACCACCTCTTTCTTGTGATCCTATAAAACTGAAACTTTGATTCGTCTGTAAAAATCACATGTGAAAAGTCTGTACCCTACATTTCCCTGCACCACTCAAGCCTTTTCTCCATATGTGCTGTTGTCATCAATGGAACTTCCTCGGCACTCGCTTGACATATCCAGATTGCTTTAAAGATCTTCTGATTGTCCATTCTGATACCTTAGGGGCTCCTTGACTTGACACCTTCACGGCAAGCTGTTTTGCAGACCAGTTTGGGTACGCCTCCGTGAGACGCGTTATACGTCGTCTGTCATTTGCCCCAAGAGTAGCACGATGTCCCAATCCAGCCTGTCGCTCTGTCCCTAACCCTGCGTCAAATTTCTTCAAATTTCGGTAAACAGAGGCCCGATGCAGTCCCGTCAGTTTCACAAGTCTAGTTACGGATATAATACCTGCTTCATAATATGCCAAGAGTCGATTTCTGTTGTTTTGTAACGTCATGGCAAGCTTCAGTATCGTCTGCTAGCAACGAGGTCACGTGATCAAGCCATCCCTGAACCCAAGGGAGATAATTCCATACCAATGAGACAAGCTACTGGCGGCTAGAAACAATGAATTTCGGCTTTTTTTATAGTAAAATCGAGTCTACAGAATAAAGTTTTTTGTTGCATTTTTTCTGCTCGTTACTTTACCTTTAATTCTCTTGTAATGCCCAATATGAATGTATAACACAAAATGTCACTGAAAACAACACTGACCAGTTTTGTTTATACATTTAGTTTGAATTATTACACATGAATAGAAAACCTCATAAAATTTTATAGGTAAAAGTATGGTTAATATATTTCTATGTCCATCCATCCATCCTCCATCTATCCGTCCTCTCACCCACACATCCATTCATCCACCCATCATCCATCCATCCATCTTACTTTTTGCAGTAAATCAGAACGTTCATATTTAAACATAAGACATGAAAGCTTATATCTGTGTTCAAAATGAGGCATGAGGTACTTACAGGTGGACCCACGGGTCCTGGACGGCCTCTTGGTCCCATGAATCCACGTGGACCCTGAAACAGATAAAGACATTGCCACTTCCATAGACAGCAGACAAACCTAAACTATGGTACACTTTACACAGGGCTACAGATAAGGGGCGTGCAGGCGTAATGTACTCCTCAAAATCAATTAAGTATGACATAATCTAAGATTTCAAGCGTATCGTGTATGCACATAAACACCTTTGTACGTCTAATATTTAATTTCCGTGCGTATTGTGTAAATGGAAATCTATTTCGGATAAATACTTGTCAAGTTTCTTTTGCGAAACACGATTTGACACATGAGGAAACCCCGACAGTAGGAATCCCTTGCGTTACCATGCAACGATATGCGTCACTATTTTTCGATTGGCTAAAAACTACACTGTTCCTATTTATATCCAGTCGGACCTGACATTTCGCATCACACGGTCGCTCAGTTATTTCTCACACGTTTTCAAATTCAAATACATGGTTGGAAATAGTGATCGATGAATCGTCCAGACAAACCACATCACCAACTCGCTTCACACAAAAACATGTCAGTACTCCTTCAAAATTCTCAGTACACCTCCACTTGCAATATGATGTGTAAGTACACTCACACCCCCAAAAGTTATCTGGAGCCCTGTTACACAATCATTATTACTGGCAAACAAGGATAAGTTGACCACCAACCTGACAAATGACCCGTATTAGCATGTATGAGTGCCGCCCACTGGTGCTTGCCATTGTCAGCAAAGGGGCCTCAGGTTGCCCGCGATCAAGTGTAGTGCTACACCGACCACGTGAGAGTCTTATGCAGCTACACACTGAATCAATTTCATCGTTATGCACTGCACGTGCACTAGCCTACATCTGCTCTACCTTTCACAAACCAAATGGGTTTGCTCATTGCTGTGCACCGCCTACTCGTAAACGCGTTCTCTGTGCCGGTCCAACTTATCCTTGTGTGCCAGTAAGTGACTTCCCTTGTCACTGAATCAATTCCAGTACTAGTGTTGATGTGGTAGCATCAAGAAGTGAAAACAGCTGGCTCTAAACATTTGTCATACATGACCAGAAATGACCCATAACACTGTTGACCACATTCTAGTATATGTTACATCCGTGGGACACCCGATACACATTGTATTACATTCTTCATGAGTAACTAAAGTTCCTATGATTAAAGTACTTACTAAATCTTACTGTACAGTAAGCCACACCATTTCATTACTTTACTGACCGCTGCCATATAGTTGGAATATTGCTATGTGTGGCGTTAAGCATGCAGCCAATCAACACTTTACTGAAGCCTCATTCATTAAGGACCCTTGAAATCAATAATTAGGACCCTTGGGTTTGTAGGTCTAGATAAAACCCAGAGCTAAATAATAAACTTTGGATCTTTTGAAATAGTGAGTGAGTTTGGTTTTACGCCGCTTTTAGCAATATTCCAGCAATATCACGGCGGGGGACACCAGATATGGGCTTTAAACTCATTGTACCCACGTGGGGAATTGAACCCGGGTTTTTGGCGTATCAAGCGAACACTTTAACCACTAGATTACCCCACCACTCACTCTTTAGGAATAATTACAATAATATGTGTATGGTCCATTAGCGGAACAAATAATGAATTAAATTCGGCTGGCGTTATTAAAGTAATACAATATGTAAGCTCATAAACTACTCTAGCAAAATGCATTTCAACCTGTTTATGACTTTCTTAACATTTAATATGGAATTTTTTCATTACCATTTCCTGGTTTAAGAGAAAACACTCACCAAATCTCCCTGTGCTCCAACCAGTCCTGGCTCACCAGGATCTCCCTAGAAGGCAAACACAGAAGTTATACTCAGCCAATGATTCATACCAACCATATAAAATCATATCTTTCTAAATAGCTTTTATGTTTAGTAGAAGTTTAACACATGGTTGTATGACATACTTTTATTCCACACACTGATGTTGAATATCATTCACATACAAGGATGGAGCTGGACTAGCTGTTAAATGTCTGTATCACTTACCCGGTCGCCATCACTGCCCATTGGTCCAATCTCTCCTGAATTACCGGGAATACCCTGTAGTACAAACACAGTATTGAGCCATACACAGAGGATAGGAGTGAAAGCAATGACGTGGCATGTGCTAACTAGTTACTGTTCCATGTGATAACATGTAGTACATCTATATGATAATCATCAATAGTTCCATTTGATCCTATGTTAGCTCCTGATAATCAGTAACTGGTCCATGTAATATGATTTAATACATCTATATGAAACCAGTAATTGCTCAATGTGATAACAAGTAATGTTTCTAACTGACAACCAATAATAGTTCCATGTGTTAATTTGATGTTTTCATATGAAATCCAGTAATTGTTTAAAGGTCACATAAACCCTAGGGGTACAAATACATAAATCACTAACTGGCATCGTATAAATGAAACCCCGCCATTAAAACTACTCATTTCGACCTTTAATTGACTTAAATCGACCTTTTGACAACAGTGCACAATTCTCACCACGAACTAAATTTCAACCAATCAGAGCGTCGCTTCTGTGACGCCATATGAGGAATAGCTTTGAGAGCCGATGCAGAATTCATCTACATTTTAGGGGTAAATTATCGTGTTTACAGGCTTGTATAAACCTGAAAATCGCGGACAATTGTTGTGGAAAATGAAAGCTATATGTTCTCACAATCTACTGTCATTTAATTTTGTCTCCTGCTTTGCCTAGTTTCCGAAGTTACAACTTGTTTTCATAGACGATTCTGTCAAAATCGATTGGTGTCGTAGGGCCCTATTTGTATAATGACTGATCCAAATTGATCCCATTTCTGTGTTGTTTTACCTCGATATTTAATCATGTCATGTAAAAATCTGTTTGTATTCTCAAAACAGTGTCGGCCCATAAGTTTTCACATGCAATACAGCAATTAATACTCCCTCGTTGTAACCCGTGTTAGGTGGTATAAACCTACACATGTTATTTGTCATCATTCACTTGATGGTCAGTTAATGAATTTATAACAGGTATAATTAGTGGTAACACACTTAGATTACCTCGACAAAGGTTCCCATTTGGCATTTCTTGTGTCTGGAGTAAATATTCAACATTATAAACATCGATCAAAGGATTAACCGATAACACGCTGATTGATTAATTACTTTTATCTTACACAGCGGAATTGTCAAAAGGTAGTGTTTATGTATGTAGATTTACTAATCTATACTGAATACACTCTGTCGTGGTCGGTGTTCAAGCGTGAAAACAACGCCCTTCTTTCAAAGGATTAACCGCAATACATTGATTGATTGCCCATTATTGGCTAACTAAATTACTGTTTTTAAAGAAAGGCGGACATTATGCAATTAGTTGCCAGGTGTGCTATCTTGGGTGACCAATGAGACTATACACCAATACCTGAAAAGATTTATCACTTTTTCAGATATTAAACTGTTAAAAGACACATCATTTGGAACAGTTTTGTGGATATTGATGGATACATTCCTAACAAGGTAATGGCCTGATATTGTTCCTATAACTTTAATCTGTTTTAATTTTAATATTTGCATTTTGTTTTTATTCATTTGTCGTAGCATTCAACAGAATCATTGTTTTCGCCAAGGAAGTGTAATGAGACAGACAACATGCACTAGGTGTGTGTGTGCTAATTATGATTCACATTGGCAAACTATAAAATGTCTAGATATTACAGTTCTGTTATAAATTCACTATAAGTATCAGCAGATCGCCTGCTTTTTATTTAGTTTCAAAATGCATACAAGTGTGATAATAAACTAATTAGGATTATAAGACCAAATATAAAGACGCACATTGACTAGTATCTACATACTGGTGAGTGGACATTAACCATGGAATGTAGCAAGAAATTTATCGCTAGTATTGTGACTTCGATTTCCACCTCGCCTCGCGGAAGAAATCGCTATGTTATAAGTTGTGTCATGCAAAACCGCTTTGGTTATGATTCCAATACATATTTAACAACGAGTAGAAAGTAGTCTTGATTTTCTAACTTGATGAAAACAAACTATAATCTCATTAATTCTAACAGATTTTTTTATTTTTAAAATGATGGCATACTCTGTCGGGAACATCCGCCAGTCTGAGGATAAATGGTATTTAGGTTTGTTTTCACCGAAGTTACAAAATCAAAACTACTTTCTACTGGTAGTAAAATATGTATTTTATTGATGGCCAATAGGATTTTGCATGACATAGCGTGATATCATAACAATTTCTCTCGCGGCAGCTTAGGTGGGTGTCAATATAATACTACTTACAATATTATTGTTACTTCACCACAACCTCACTTCCGAGGAAGAAATCGCTATGTTACAAGTTGTGTCATAGAAAATCTTTATGGTCATCAATCATATGCATATTTTACTACAACTAGTAAGTAGTTTTGATTCTTTAACTTCCGCGGAAGCCGCATCTGAACACAAGTAAGATATCGCTTCAGGCTTCCACAACGCCGCCGCGACTCACAAACATAACCCATTTAGCACCTAACTGCGGGTCCTGTGGAAATCTGTGCATGGGGACACCATCGCCTCACCCCCTAGGAGCAATTGACGACAAAGCAACGATTCGGCATGTCGCCGTTGATGTCGAGAAATCATCAAAATGATGAGCTGCATACACATTTTCTATACAACTAACTGAAAATCGCTCCTCATATGACGCCACTGCAGTGCTCTGGCGACAGAGTTACGTGAACCTGTCTGTGGTTTCGCTATGGCTTAGAGGGAAGCAGGCTTAATTTTTGGCCACTTTTAATCGCCGGTATTAATTAACCACAAGTTTTTAAAGAATAAATTTGGTGTTCCGCATAAGACTAACCACAAATCTTTCATATGTAATGGTTAAAAGAGTAACAAAACAAAGTTTAGTGGTTCTTTAACATGTGATGAGAAGCAAATGGTCCACTTGATGACCATTTCAATGTTTCCCCTTGACCAGTAATTGTTGGATATGACAATTACCAAGCATTAACATCAAATGACATAATAGAGCCAATGTGTGGAACAGAAGATTAACACATCACAAAAACATCATGTCACACCAGTGAAACCTGTTTAGAGTTACTCTCCCTTGCAATGACGAGTGAACACTATAAGCACAAGGCTACCCTGCCGCCCCGCCATGGGCAGAAGCATGAGAGAATCAGAGTATTGTTCTTCTTCAGTAATGGCCCAATGATGTAAGAATGTGAACAATGGCAGTTTGTTGTGAAGCTGTGTTTTAGGAGCGTCCTGATCATGTCTACTCACACGATGTCCCTTCTCTCCAGGCATACCGGGTATTCCTGGGAAGCCAGTCAAACCCTGAAGAAAACAAAAGTACACTTATAAATATTTTAGTAGCAATAAACACAATGATATTTCTCTCTGAGTTTGCAGTTCACATACTTTTGGCATTCTTGCTACAATCATATCTTACTCCACTGATGCAATAATGAAACATATTTATTACACTGTATTCAATTCATACTTTCTAACATGATTGATGTTTATATTCCATATATCAATGCTATAACTCTCCATATCTACCTTGTATCAATGTCTCATCCAAATCTAGTGATTATCCACATTTCCTTAACTTCATAACTCCCCTAATTAACTCATCTGAACTCAAACCTTCCAACATTCCAAGACATTTATTAAATACCATACCTAGTTATATAGGTACATAGGCACATAACAGTTAACAAGCATTAGTCAGCTAACCTCATACCTCCATTCCATACATGTATCATATACCTAGTTACATATGAATGTAACCATTATCTGTACCTACTCCAGTGTATATCCTTTTGTCTCTGTTCAATCCCTAATTTCCATCATTCCCAAATCTTTTATGAACTATTCCCTCCATACTATATATCTGTTATACACCTAGTGTCATATCAACATATCATGTGTATATCTACCTTATCTCCTGGTGGTCCCATCATGCCTCTCTCGCCATCACGACCAGGTTTGCCCTGCAACATTAGTCCATTGGCAGGAATTATATGCATTGTTTTATCTACTACATCTTGTACTAAATGCAGTAGGGGTGCATTGAAAAAGACAAAACAATAACACAAATAACTTTTGTCACACTACAATGATTTATTTAGTGATTTGTGACACTACAGTGATATACCGGTATACAAAAATATTTGGGCAAACTATTCAGCCCAAAATCAGAAGTACTGTCCCTTAAAAATTCCAAACTTGAATAAAAAATGTGTGAAGTGATGTTATTGTAGGAAAATGTAATCTTATAGCTGTGCAGAAGTGAAATTTGATAGAATTTGTAGTTTATTTCTTGGAGAAATGTTTGCAACAAAAATGGAACAAGATTTGTACTGACCCTCTTTCCCTGAGGTCCTGGAACACCTGGCATACCGTGAGATCCAACTGGACCCTGTCAGGGAAATAAAAACATACATCAATCTCCAACAACATTTCCATACATGTCTCTCTCCATCTCTCCATATTGCTTCTCCATCTTTCCATATTTACCAGTGGTGGCTACTTGTATTTCAGACATCCCATCTACTGAGTCTGCTAATATAATCAACAAATTTAAAAATTCAAACTTAATGAATAAATGAAAAGTTGATTAATATGGTGATAACCCCATGACTAGTAAACAATTGTTCGAAAGTATCTTTTAAATTATTCTCAACACACCTGAACAGCTAATGGTGGTGGTGTTCTGAGCTTCAACTGGCTGGCTGACCAGTCAGGGCCTATCTGAGCCAGTTATTAAGTTTGTTGTGGCTACTAGATAGGCTATTTGGCTCAAGATAACCTACGGTCACCTGTACATAAGCCAATATGATTATTTTGGTCCTCAAAATTCGGCTTATCTACAGTATATACAGACTGGTTATTTTGGTCCTCAAATTCGGCTTATCTACGGTAATATACAGACTGATTATTTTGGTCCTCAAAATATCGGCTTATCTATAGTAATATACAGACTGATTATTTTGGTCATCAAAATATCGGCTTATCTATAGTAATATACAGACTGATTATTTTGGTCATCAACATTCGGCTTATCTACAGTAATATACAGACTGATTATTTTGGTCCTCAAAATTCGGCTTATCTATGGTAATATACAGACTGGTTATTTTGGTCCTCAAAATTCAGCTTATCTACAGTAATATACAGACTGGTTATTGTGGTCCTCAAAATTTGGCTTATCTACGGTAATATACAGACTGATTATTTTGGTCCTCAAAATTCGGCTTATCTATAGTAATATACAGACTGATTATTTTGGTCCTCAAAATTCGGCTTATCTACGGTAATATACAGACTGATTATTTAGGCCCTCAAAATTCGGCTTATCTACGGTAATATACAGACTGATTATTTTGGTCCTCAAAATTCGGCTTATCTACGGTAATATACAGACTGGTTATTTTGGTCCTCAAAATTCGGCTTATCTACAGTAATATACAGACTGATTATTTTGGTCCTCAAAATTCGGCTTATCTACGGTAATATACAGACTGGTTATTGTGGTCCTCAAAATTCGGCTTATCTACGGTAATATACAGACTGATTATTTTGGTCCTCAAAATTCGGCTTATCTACGGTAATATACAGACTGATTATTTTGGTCCTCAAAATTCGGCTTATCTACGATAATATACAGACTGATTATTTAGGCCCTCAAAATTCGGCTTATCTACGGTAATATACAGACTGATTATTTAGGTCCTAAAAATTCAGCTTATCTACAGTAATATACAGTATATGAATCACTCTGGAGTCCTTCTTCTAGGGCTCCTCAGTCTCACCTGTTCTCCAGGGTTGCCAGGATCTCCCTTCTCTCCCTCCATACCAGGGGGACCCTGCAAATACACAGCACAGAGTCATGCTCAAGAAGGCAGCATAACACATTGCCACAATCAATGTCTAAAGCTATTAATGGTGTTTGGAATCAACAGTGTTTCCATGAACTTGTGTAAATCAATGTTTCAAGTAAAGCCTTTAAACTGATTCACATAAAAGTGAGAATTTATTGATGTGAACTTCTTTATTATGAGGAACAATAATAAAGAAATGACATCAATAAATCCTCACCTTATAATGCTTCACGTTGATAACTACACAAAGGTATCAATGCTTCAATAAGTGTTACCATGAATGCATAAATGCTTCAAGTAGTGTCACCATGAACACATAAATGTTCAAGTAGTGTCACCATGAACACATAAATGCTTCAAGTAGTGTCACCATGAGCACATAAACGCTTCAAGTAGTGTCACCATGAACACATAAATGTTCAAGTAGTGTCACCATGAACACATAAATGCTTCAAGTAGTGTCACCATGAACATATAAATGCTTCAAGTAGTGTCACCATGAACACATAAATGTTCAAGTAGTGTCACCATGAACACATAAATGCTTCAAGTAGTGTCACCATGAACACATAAATGCTTCAAGTAGTGTCACCATGAACACATAAATGCTTCAAGTAGTGTCACCATGAACACATAAATGTTCAAGTAGTGTCACCATGAGCACATAAACGCTTCAAGTAGTGTCACCATGAATATATAAATGCTTCAAGTAGTGTCACCATGAACACATAAATGCTTCAAGTAGTGTCACCATGAATACATAAATGACTACACGGTGGTGTCAAGACTTGTGCTACCACTAACATATTCAGGTGGAAGTTTCAAGCACTAACCGCACGTCCAGTGAGACCGCTCATACCCTGTGGTCCAGCAGCTCCCCTCATGGCCAGCTGAAGAGGAAACAAACATGTTCAACAAACGTATCATCATTGTAAGTCTTGAAGTCTTTCAAATTTGCTAAGGGACCAACCATGTACTACTCTGGCACGGGGATAACTTGGGGACAAGAATTTTGTCTGAGACACAAAATACTTTCAGTTTTCATGCATCACTTCCAAATAATAAGTGTTTAGGGAAGCGCCCAAACCGTTTCCTTTTTAACATTTAGCATGTACTGTTAAACTCGTAACCTTGTCAAGTCACTCACTCACATGATCAGGTGCTAAGGTGAAACTGTGAACTGCCGAAATAAAAGAGACAAATACCTATCCACATCCATAAGAAATCTCTTCCGACTATTTCATGAACATATATTTGTGTGTGTGTGTGTTTTATGCCTCACTCTGCAATATTACAACTGACTGATAGCGGTCTGTACATAACAAAGTCAGGACCAGTCCAGCAATTGGCATATAAGATACCATGACCGAGCATGTGTTTATGAATCACTATCAAATAGTGATGATACAAGGTTTGTGCTAAATGGTGAACACATCCTGCCCCACCGATGACACCCATCATGAACGTGCAAATGCTAGTCAGTTGTTCACCTAAACACATTTGGGAACGTATGGTAAAAGTCAAAATAAGGAATTAAAAAATAAGATTGTATGATGCTTCTTGAAATCTTGGTACAAACACCATGCTCGATCGTACCTAAATAAATAGTGAATGTTTGAATATTGTTTGACATGAGAGGAAAGTTGAAATCATCCCTTTTGTCATACAGCCTTGCAATGTCACTAACTTAACAAAATTACTGCAGTAGACGTTTGTCAAAATTTGTCAAATATTATCTGATGTATTGTCAAAACCAGCTAATGAACTCACCATATGTTGGGCAAGCATGGTCCTGAATGCTTGAGCTTGGTCCCCTCCTGCTTTCTGATCATACTGCATCTACAACACAATATACAACAAAATGTACTCATAGACACGACAATGTACAACAACCTACAACACAATGTACAACAAAATGTACTCATAGACACCACAATGTACAACCTATAACACAATGTACAACAAAATGTACTCATACACAACACAATGTACAACAACCTTTAACATTTTCTTTTGAGTAACCAAATAAATTGTACTCACCTCACGCAAACTGAATTGGGTATTTTGCCATTTTCCATTAATTGTAAATATATAATCAAGTTTAAATGTTACTGTTTGTTATTTGTATTTGATCTGAAATATGAGAAATGATAAAGAAAGACTGCAAGTTGTCAAGTTCATGTCCAGAAATAGAACCTCTTCAGTTATTTATCTATCTACTGTCTGCAAGCTAAGATTTGACAGTTTTGTGCGTACGCATGTAAGATCACATTTAATGAGTATTTTAAAAAATTCAAGCATACTTGTAAGCAATAGACTTAATAGGAATTGAGTTTTCACATAAATATTTGCGTAATTTACGCAGATATGCAGCTTATCTGTACCTCTGAACATATGTATAACACAATGTACAACAACTTACAAAACATTGTACAACAAAATGTACTCATACACAACACAATGTAGAACAACCCATAACACAATGTACTGAAATACAGGACAATGTACAACACAACACATATATATACAACACGATGTACAATTTAATATAAAACAATTTACAACAAAAAATACTGATCTAATGTACAATGTAATATGCTGATCATAATGCACAACCTCAAACACAATATACTTATCTCCAACACAATAACCAATATACTTGGAACCAGTCACTCATTACATTGTAAGAATGTATTATAGAAACAGCAATCTATAGGTACCAGCCATTAATTATAGAGTAAGCATATGTACCGATATTTGATAGAAGTACTTACTGGAATGACAAAAACATGTCCTGGAGGTCCAGGAACGCCATTAGATCCAGGAATACCATCACGTCCAGCCAGACCCTGCAGGATAAGCAGACAGCGTTCACTCACAGAATATTTCTGCCAAAGAAGCTATTTACATTGGTTCAGAATGTCAGAAATGTATATTACAGCCTCCAAACTGCAAGTAGTATTCTCTCATTGCAGTTGGGTATAAAAGTTAGTTAAAAATAGAACAAAGTAGATTTGGATTTGGATGTAACATTCTACCTGTCCTTTAGAGAAATTATCCAACAGTATGTTTCTTTCAATGTTTCATGACAATTATTTAAAAGAGACAATGCAATATATGCATCAATACTGGTCACACCAGAATCTTTAGTTAAAGGTCATGTAAAGGGGCACCTCAAACCTTTTGAAGTGATATCTGGGTCTTTAAGGGAAGACAACAGGTTCCTTTCACAGGAGACATAAGTCATTCCACAGCTAAATTTCAAAGTAATGTTAAATTACTTTTATCAGCAAATAGCTTGATATGTTAAGACACCCTGAACAGTGTTATGATCCACAAGTGACCAGAGAGCAAAGGATGCCATATTGCTTCCATTGACCAATCATCACTGCAATACAGATACCAAAAAACATAACACATTCAATCTCTTTACTTCAGAAGGTATGTGAGTTTGTTAGGTATTATCCCATGTTAAACAATATTATCAATTTATGGACACCAGAAAAGGACTTCACATGTAATATCCACGAGTGGAAATCCAGGAAATGTAATATCCAGGTCTTCAGTTTCGTGCCAGAGCACTTTACAACCACTAGGCTACCCCAATCACCCACTTTTGTTCTAGGCAGACAGACTCGAAGGCATTATGAGTTATATGTGAAAGTACTTACAGGATCTCCAGTAGTACCTGGGGCACCTGCAGGTCCTCTATGTCCTGGGGGTCCTGGGGGTCCCTGTTTCGGGAGTAACGCATAATCTCCATGACCATAAAAATACAGCATTTGTAGAGATGTCACAAAAGATTTTGTAAATTAAAAGCTTGGCATAAATGTTTTAATGAATTTAAGGAAATGCATATCAATAACTTCTTGCACAATGATGGGCCTTGCGATGATAATCTTTAACATCAGCTTGATTCTCAAATTAAGTGCGTCTCATGTCCCATTTATCAATACTCCAGGAATATAGCTGTGGGGGGCACCAGAAACAGGGTTCATACATTGTATCGTGTGGGGAATCAAACTTGGTCCTTCAGCAGGGCATTCAAAACCTTTAACCACTTGACTATCCAATAACCCAAAATTCAGTACAATATTATCTTAATCAGTGACTTACAAATCTGTAAGCGACTTCCTCGAGATCAGCTGATCCAAAATCTACTCTTAGTCCAGGAAGCTGAGACAAATAAAGAAAACTCAGTAAGTACAAAGTGGCCAGATGTCTGTATGATACGATACATATAACAATGTTTTGTTCACGATACAGCAAACATCACAATACTAAGTTAACAGCAATTTGGAAGAATCTTTACATTTCAAAGGACATATCAAACTCAAATTGCAATGCAAAGTAAATGGAATTTTCAATTACTTAATATAATAGTAAATCTCCTGTCGAAGAAATACCAATGACCCCCTGCACCCATACTCACACTATATAAAGCCAAAGGTGTTGTAAATCAGCAAGAAAACACAGTTAAAACCGAAACATTTGTTTAAAGTAATTGTCCCAGTAGGTTATCAATTCATTCTTCTCATTGTCATCCTTTCTGCCTGGTTACCTGTCCTGCTTCAATATCCTTGCCAAAACTGGTCTTGACAGCAGTGGTATTTTTGCCGCCCGACTGCACCTTCTTGCCCTTCTTCTTCTTTGACTTGAAGGGTTTGTCACACTCAGGGGTGTAATATGTACAGTGTTCGTATGCAGCCTCAGGATCAGGCACAATAATCAGGTCCTGAAGGTCACCCTGGAACACACAAGTAAGTGAACATTGCAATACACAGCATATATTCCAGATATATTGTCGTGGCATGTAAATGATGAATCGAGGCAGGCACTCAAGTGGTTGATGGGCTGGACTGTGCAATCAGGGCACAATGACGTACAATCAGCCAGCCTGGTTCAAAATCAAACTGTACTCACAAGTAGCTCTTCATGACAACCGGAAGTAAAGGTAACCCATTATGTACAGGCCACGATGGCATGTTTTCAAGGCTTGACAACAGGGCAACAGACCATGATAACATGTCATCAGGTCTCACTGACACAGCATCAGGGCATGATAACATACCATCAGGTCTCACTGACACAGCATCAGGGCATGATAACATACCATCAGGACTCACTGACACAGCATCAGGGCATGATAACATACCATCAGGACTCACTGACACAGCATCAGGGCATGATAACATGCCATCAGGACTCACTGACACAGCATCAGGGCATGATAACATGCCATTAGGTCTCACTGACACAGCATCAGGGCATGATAACATACCATCAGGTCTCACTGACAGCATCAGGGCATGATAACATACCATCAGGACTCATTGACACAGCATCAGGGCATGATAACATACCATCAGGACTCACTGACACAGCATCAGGGCATGATAACATACCATCAGGACTCACTGATAACATAACATAACTCATGACCATCAGGACTCACTGACACAGCATCAGGGCATGATAACATGCCATTAGGTCTCACTGACACAGCATCAGGGCATGATAACATACCATCAGGACTCACTGACAGCATCAGGGCATGATAACATACCATCAGGACTCATTGACACAGCATCAGGGCATGATAACATACCATCAGGACTCATTGACACAGCATCAGGGCATGATAACATACCATCAGGACTCACTGACACAGCATCAGGGCATGATAACATGCCATCAGGACTCACTGACACAGCACCAGGGCATGATAACATGTTATTATGTCTCATTGACACAGCACCAGGGCATGATAACATGTTATTATGTCTCATTGACACAGCATCAGGGCATGATAACATGTCATCAGGACTCACTGACACAGCATCAGGGCATGATAACATACCATCAGGACTCACTGACACAGCACCAGGGCATGATAACATGCCATCAGGACTCACTGACACAGCATCAGGGCATGATAACATGCCATCAGGACTCACTGACACAGCACCAGGGCATGATAACATGTTATTATGTCTCATTGACACAGCATCAGGGCATGATAACATGTCATCAGGTCTCACTGACACAGCATCAGGGCACAATAACATGTCAGGTCTCACTGACACAGCATCAGGGCATGATAACATGTCATCAGGTCTCACTGACACAGCATCAGGGCATGACAACATGTCAGGTCTCACTGACACAGCATCAGGGCATGATAACATGTCATCAGGTCTCACTGACACAGCACCAGGGCATGATAACATGTTATTATGTCTCATTGACACAGCATCAGGGCATGATAACATGTCATCAGGTCTCACTGACACAGCATCAGGGCATAATAACATGTCAGGTCTCACTGACACAGCATCAGGGCATGATAACGTCATCAGGTCTCACTGACACAGCATCAGGGCATGATAACATGTCAGGTCTCACTGACACAGCATCAGGGCATGATAACATGTCATCAGGTTTCACTGACACAGCATGATAACATGTCATCAGGTCACTGACACAGCATCAGGGCATGATAACATGTCATCAGGTCTCACTGACACAAAATCAGGGCATGATAACATGCTATCAGCCAAGTCACAAAGCCTGAATTCAGTGACTATTTAGTTTTTGTAAGAATCACAGTCAAAGTTTTTGGTGCCTGCAGTGCAAGAGCGTTAATATGTCAGATCTTGTTAATTAGGAGATAAACGTCATGTCTTGGCCAATTTCCAGGTGTTATTGAGTATTTGAAGCATGGGAATTCATTTGGAACCGACGGCATTAGCCGGAGGTTTAAAATGAAATATTCACGTGCTTCAAATACTCAATAACACCTGGAAATTGGCCAGCACATGATGTTTATCGACAATGTAAACACAAAAGTAAACCAAAAGGTCCACACACGTTTTTGTGTCTGCACTCATTGACATAGAGTAGGGGTACAGCAGTGAAATGTCATCAGCCGGCCGTTTCGGCTGTCTCCCATGGTAGCATCTGGAACTGCTCATTTGTGACGTCATTCCGACTTTACGTCACAATATGATTTGAATGACATCACCACTGCTGACAACCCAACAATACAATGATGTGTACGATGTTCATACGTATAAATATGCAGCGAGTAGTCTTACAATTTCCGGGAATCGAATGCCATTTGATCATGTTTTTCAACCAATCAGAATATAAAACACAGTGACTTTTGGTTAACAATGTCTAACATTGCTATATTTCAGTTTATTATAAATTACACATACAATGACATGCTCAACTTTAACGCCACACTCAGCAATATTCCAGCTTTGTGATGGCAGAGTATAAATAATCAAGTCAGGACAATCCAACGACTGAGCATAGATCTACACAAATGGGATTCGAAGACATGCATCAACCAGGTCAGCAAGCATGACCACCTGATCCCATTAGCTGCCTCTCATAAGAACTACAGTCAACTCTAGCAACAAGCATGGGTAACGGAAAACTAATTCTAACCCAGGTCTTCACAGGTTACAATGGTTCTTAACTTACTGTAAATATATCTTCTTCAAATAGCTGATGCCCAACAAAAATGATTCCATCGGTTGCAAATTCTGAGGGTAGGGTTCTCTTGAGTGGAATGGTGTCTAGCTGCTCGCAGTTGTGGAAGACTGTCAGAGCGTCTCCTTTCACACTAAGTGACAGTCGCTGCCAACTGAAGCGCAAACAACCAGTCAGTAACGGGTATAACAAAAAGGCACAAAAAAATGGAACATTTGGCTTTCATTATCTTCCGCTGTATGAATTACTGAGTTTTACATTGAATCATGAGGTTCCATTTCCTGGTGGGTATGCTTCAGTTAGGTTGGTTGGTTGTTTAAAGCTGCATTCAGTGTCGGTCTGTAAATAATCGAGTCTGGACCAGAAAATCCAGTGATCAACAGCATGAGCATCGATCTACGTAATTGGGATATGATGACATGTGTCAACCAAGTCTACGAACCTCACCACCTGATCCCATCATTCGCCTCTTACGACAAGCATGGGTTGCTGAAGATCAATTCTAACCCAGATCTTCATAGGTCTTAAGTTAGGACCAGATAATCTAGTGATTGGAAGCAGTAGCAACAGTCACAGATATCTGGATACCATGAATCAACCATATTCCAGTCTCACCATCAAGTTCATTTTAACTGACTCTTACAAGCATAGTTACATTTGGTACCAATTCTACTCAGGATTGTTCTGATTGCGAGACTTAGTAAGACTTCCATAATTCTGAGACACAAAAATGAGCTAAGAAATTATCAAAAGACCTACATTTGAAATTGAAAATGTAATTGAAAAACTACTTACAAGCCATCATTTAGTGTCACATTTAAAATGGGTGATGCATCTCGTCCTGGTTTTCCCTTTTTGTCAGTATATGTAAATCTGACTTGGTCGCCAACCGACAGTGACATGAGCTCCTGGGCTTCCTTGTCACTGTATATAGTAAATAGCTTGCCCTGAACAGCTTCATCAGCTCTGAATGTTGCAATGATGGCAAAGTCTTCAGGAAATCCATCTGAAAAATATTAGTGAGTGAGTAAGTGAAGTTAGTTTTATGCTGCTTTTAGCAATATTACATTAATATTATTGCGAGGAACACCAGAAATGGGCTTCACACATTGTCGCAATGTGAGGAATCAGACCCAAAAAGCGAACTTGTTCACCATTTGGCTACCCTACCACCAAAAAATACAAGCAAAAACAGGGACTGAATAAGCTGTATCTTCATTCATAAAAGACAAATTTAAATATAATTTTCTTGAAACTGACTGAGTAAAAAGTTTCCAAAGACAAGACTTCACAACTAACTTATGAAAATACAAACATGCCATGCCAAAAAATGATGCAATGGCCCAAACTAAAAACAAAATTAACTGAGAAAAACATGTTTCCTCAAGAATCATCTTCAAAACACTTACATGGGAAGACTGTTTGTATCTGCGTGTTGAGCTGGGAGTCTGGTCCAATTCGCCATCCCCAGTCATCTTCAATTTTTCCGCCTTTCTGAGGTCGATCCCAACAAATTCCTGTTACATTCTCTACTGTAATTTCATCATATTCATCTTCGGCCCATGTATGCCCATTTATGTCAACACTTTCTAAAAGATCGACAGAACCTGAAAAAAGAGAAAAGATGTTGGTAAAAGTGAAATTCACCCACCCTTGTTTAGTGCAAGGAGTACACATGCTTTAGGTGCAACAGTGAATATACAAAGATGTGTGTGCTTTGTGGTTCTACATTTGAACAAAATCCACTAAATCTAAGAAAATGTTGATATCTGACTGGTTAAATAAATGTGAAGATTTTTTCGACATGAAATCTCCATGACTTGAACCTGCAACCATTTAAAGGACAACATGATTCGTGACACTGCACATCGACTACCATTTGGTGCACGATCTGGGTTCGGACATCCTGGATCTACCTTGGGGAACTTTCAGGTCTTACAAGGTCGCGGGTTTGATCCCCGACGCGTCATACCAAAAGATGTTAAAGCATGGTACTTGTTGGTCCCTGTCTGGCGCTCGGCATTAATGGGTACAACAAGGACTGATCGGCTCGGAGTCAGTATAATGTGTCTGAGTGGGGTATTCATGCTTCACTGCGGCATGGTATCTCAGTGGGCTAGCACTATAAATCCAGCTTAAGTCTGGGCTAGTACAAGCAGCCGCACATACACATACACACGCATGCACGTCGTCATATGAGCGAAATATTCTCAAGCACGACGTTAAAACCCAATTTCACCTTACCTCACCTCATTCAGTCTTGTTCCTGGGGTTCGAGCAGAGTAAGACAGCACACTGAGCTCATAGCAGGTAGAAGAGTTTCATTTAATGCCGCTTTGATTGGTATTTCAGAGTTATTGGTGAGAAATTAAGGGTGTCAATAAATGGTCCTAAAGTTGGTCAATGGTCCTATATACATTGCATTGTTCCCCCAAGAAGAAGCGTTTTATAAATTGAATAATCAAAGAAAGAGACGAAGGGGCAGAAGTCCAAGGAAACACAATTCATGTCCATCAGGCACAAATCCCTGATGTGACCTTGACCTTCAGTGGTGGTACGGGCAGGACATGTTCTTTTACAGTGTTCACGAATGGTTTTTCAAAGTAACAGGACATTGGGTCCTGTAAGTTTCAGATGTCTTTCTCACCCATTGAAAATTCACAGGACCCGTAGAATAACATTAAACATACATTTCAGATTTAACTTTTCTTATAAATAATTGGCATTGAAATTATGAACAAACATAAGATTTATAAAGAGCAAGCAAGTGTCACATGTCACATATAACAACTTCAGTCAAAGTCATTGTGAATGTACGGTCAGACATTGGGGCTGGCGGGTTGTAGACTTCTATCGGACCGTTGGTGAATCTGCCGGATCTGTCAGAGGGTCAGATGCTATTCGTGAACACTGCTTTTATGACAAGGCACATGTCTGGTGTCATCTTCATTACGCTATGATTATGTATACATGTAATGGTTTAATGAAGTATATCAAGGGCTCACTCAGAATAGGCGGCAATGCTGAAATTAGATCTATGCCAACTCAATCAGAAGAAACATTTTGAAGGTTGTTGATTTGAGAGAAATAAATTCAGTGTTAAGTTGGTGATTAGAGAGATGGAGATGGAGAGCAAGTAAGTCCAAGATATTGCTCCCTCCCAGGAATACATGGGTGGAAGGGCTTTACTGTCGAAGTGTGGACCACAGATGTCTGGAGGAGCCAGGTGGAAGGCCCTTGTGGATCCCTTCCCACACGCTGAGTTCATTGGTTGCGATAAAACTATATATATATTCAGTTCATTAGCAACATGGCCACTGCCAAGCAGATTTTGGTCGATTGGAGGATTTGCAGAGCATGTGAACTGTCAACTGGGCGCTGTCAGATGTTCCCTTAATCTATTCATGTATTTGATACAGCTGCTCCAGTGGACTGTGGTAAGACAAGTTTTGACAACAAGTGAGATGTTAATTAGCCATCAGAAAGTCTTGACTGGGTAATGCCATTTTGTTTGAAGCAAATTCCTGGAATGTGAGAGGTGGAATCTGTGTTGGTGGGACATGTAAGGAATATAACTCATAATAGCCCCTTGGTAGTGCTATGAAATTCCAACTTAGTTCGGCAAGGGTGGGAACTGGACTCAGTTACAGCAAGCCCCTGCCTCAGGAAGATAGCTTTTTCTGTGAAGATTTCAAAGAGCATCATTTGACTCTTGCTCAGCAGATTTGTTTCATAAGGGTTAAAACATCAACTCTCAAAAGGTTTTATGATACTTGTGGAGCATGAAATATGACACATCAGGATGAAATATGACACATTTGACAAAAACACCTGATGCACTTATTTTAACTCGCACCATATGTTCCAATATGGTTTTCAGATGAGCCATTAACTTGCCTTTGCATGTGTTTGTGATCGGTGAGACCAGTGATGCATGGTTATGTATGTCTGTCTTTCTGCCAAACCTGAGTGAGTTTAGTTTTACGCCGCACTCAGCAATATTCCAGCTATATGGCGGCGGTCTGTAAATAATCAAGTCTGGACCAGACAATCCAGTGATCAACAGCATGAGCATTGATCTGCACAATTGGGAACCTATGACATGTGTCAACCAAGTCAGCGAGCCTGACCACCCGATCCCGTTAGTCACCTCTTACGACAAGTATGGGTTACTGAAGGCACATTCTAACCCGGACCTTCACGGGTCCGCCAAACCTGGTTTCATTGCTATTTGACGGGATTCATAAACACAAGCTTATGATATGGCTAGATTTGTACAAAGGATTCTGATTTCAGCAGTGATTTCGCCAGATTATGGAATTGGATTGTAATGCAATACTATGACTTGCTGCAAATTTAAATTTTTTAAACAGAAAAACTACAAAACATAAAATCAATATGTAAAACAATATTAGAAATAACATGAAACTTCTTTTCAACCATCCACATTGCTCAAGACTCTTCACAGAGCAAGACAAATGTCCTGCTGGGAGTTTTGGCTATTCGCTGAACAAGCACACAGCGCACCTGTACAAACACTGGGGTCACCTGTGAGGAGGGCCCACGACACAAAACACATGGCAATTTGGGAAGAGGTAGGCAATGAGATCCAAATTATTAGGGAACTGAATGTGTTGAATGTGTATTGCATGTTTATTCAAGCTATCACAATGAACTAAAAGATTAAGAGATTTGGGTTGTACATCCTTGTAACAGTATATCAGTCATATCACAGCATGTTAGCATAATGTGGGACAAACAGTCTAAAGCGATACAGGTGTCAAATATTTACCGCTTAGGCCAGACCAATTTGATTTCTTGTTTTACAGATTTTTGTCCTCAGAAAACCTAAAGGCAGGAGGAAAAGAAAATAGAAATAAAATCACCATTCAAATTAATATTCCTTCTGAATATTACAAGTATTTTACTTTTGGAAATTTATTAAGTGTATATGTGGCAAAAAAAAACAATAAAAAAATGTTCTTGTAAGGTTACATTTTTGGCCAATAAAAACATTAGGATTTTATTTTTGAGTGGGGAAAATTAAAAAAAATTTCTTATTATTCTTGAAAAAATATGACCAGCAGATCTGTAAAACAAGAAATCAAATTGGTCAGGCCTTAGGTTAAACTAACAAGCAGGGGTATGGAGCTGACAAACCAAAGATCTCAATTTGGTCTGGGGACAGAACTTTTTCAGTACAAAAATGTGTCAATCATGACCCAAAAATGTAGGGTTGATATAAATGTAAAAAGATTATATCTGTTGACATATGAAGCATTTCTATCCATTAACCTGTTTGCCGGTTATCTATTCATTTGTATATATTCTGTACAATGTAAAACTTGGGGAAGAAATACTGTTCAAACCATACAGGTGAGAACAATGATTTCCTAAAGAATTGGAACCTATTTTCTAGCAGGTACTAACAATTCATTATGATATCATATCTTCATGCCTAGGGGTTATATGATGATATACACCATAAAATGATGAAATAACACTGGTATCATTGGACAGACTTATATCACACATAAACTTCAAAAGACCAATAACTGTGAAAAGCATGTTTAGCATCTAACCATTGGTACAAAATTCACTCCTAAACTTTGTTCTAGTCGTGCATTACAAAATGGCGTAACTCTCTACATCAGAACTCAATTTTTGGTGTACACCAACCAGCTGTGGCTTGAATATTGTTAAGAGCAGTACAAAATACTATCCATTCACTTACTTAATTACCCGTACATGTACAGCTATTGATAAAATCGAGTCAGAAATAGTAACATGTAAGTTCTAACTTTAAAAAATCTTATTATATACTCTCCCAAAAAAGAAACGCATATAGGAATTTCAACTGTATTTTTATGTTTATTTTGAAACATCTTGTAGGCTTTATGAGTCAATTAAATATAGCGAAATTGCACACTGGGAATGCAGACTTATCCGTCTTTGGCACCAACTCAAGGAAAGTCAGTTTGAATGTCACATGGAGACGTGTGGTGGCGCTGAAGTCAATACCTCGTGTGACCACCGTGGGCATCCAGAACTGCACGGCATCGCCGGCATCGAACCAATAAGTCTCAGAATCTCGTGTTGCATTTTGCATTCGTCATTTTGCGTTCATCAACAATAGTGAATAATCGACAGACAGTGATCAACCTGTTATACCCATCATTGAGACTATCTGATCCCCAACTTTCACGTGCAATGCATGTGAATTGTGTATTCTGTGACACTACACGCTGAAATTGAAAATCATGCTGTTAAATACAGGTGCGTTTTGTTGTGATGTTTCAAAACATAAACACCATAGGACTCATAAACAGAGCAAAACTTTTGTAAAATGAATCACGTTTTAATTCATTGCTACATGAAATTGCTATTTTCATGATGTGTTTCTTTTTTGGGGAGAGTATATATAAATCCTGAGGAGTCATAATTAATAGGTATATATCAATGAATCCTTTGTATATTGGATGACTATTGGCCTGGGAAAAACTGTACGTAAGTCATAACATGACAGAGCTTTAGACAAAGTGGTCCATGTGTGTTTGTGGTGCTTGAATGGAATTAATCAGCATCTGATCAGTCCCATGCCTGTGGA